TTGCAACTTTTACAGTACAGTTTCTTGCCGATTGGGAACTGAATTTTTTAACGTTAAAACAAATCGCAGTAAAAAAAATGACTACCACCTCGCGTGGGACGTATACGCTCCACGATCAAATAAACGCCGCAATAGTATTAACCCTTTGCACTAGAGAATATTTTCCTCAACAAATGTTCATTATTTTTTTACCAGATATCAATATGTTTTACAATTAACATAAACAAATACCTTGTATAAATTAAGTGACAGAACTAGTTTATTTCGATGTTCCATATGTCGATACATTATATAAAATTTGATATTCAATTCTAAATTTGATCATTTTGTTCAGTCAAATCAAACGGCGATTGAAAGGCGCCGCTCGAGTGCAAAGGGTTAATAGTAGCATGGTAGGAAGATTTCAGATCTGATGCAACTTTTGTCAGATGCCCATAATTGACTGCATAATACATTCTTAATAAATTCTTCATTTTACAATGACAGCACCCAATGGCTCGAATGGAAAGTACAACGTGGTGCGCGTACGTCCCACGCGGCACGGAACGTGTTAATCGATAAACTAAGGGACGAAAGTATTTTACTTTGATATTTCATATAGTGACGCGTTATACAAAGTTTAATATTAAACATCAAAATTTATAATTTCACTGTATCAAACCAAGTGATGACAGAGTCACATCTCAAGTATAAAGGGTTAATAGTAGCATGGTAGGAAGATTTCAGATCTGATGCAACTTTTGTCAGATTTAACCCTTTGCACTCGAGAGGTGACTCTCAGTTGCTACAAACATGTAATATTAAGCTTCTTATAATCCATGAATACGTGAAATATTGAAATAATAACTTTGTTTCTTAACTTAGATATATTCCCTCGTTCGATTCGTTTTAAAGGGTGTCTAGAACTCATTGAAAGCTGTTGAATTTTTCTAGTGAAAGACTTTCGAGTGCAAAGGGTTAACACGTTAAGCGCCATGTCAGTCACTGCTGACTGACGCTTCTGAATGACTATTAACCCTTAGCACTCCAGGTTGTTTTGTAATCTATCAGCAACTGCAACTAATTTTTATAGTATTCGTAACTTTAATGAGAAATGCTATAAGATTTCTTCGATCTTTTATTTTCCTTCTCAGTGCAAAATTTGGATATGTGGAAAATCTAATAATTTTAGGGTAGTTATATTTCAGATTCATTAAAATATTCAATATTACAACTGGTGCAATATTGGAGCCTACAGAGTTCAAAGGGTTAAACGATCGTAACATACAAGGTAACTGATATGAAATGAAAATGTTTAATAACGTAACTAAGTTGATAACAGTGTAACGAAAGAAGAACTACGGGAAAACGCTTAAGATTTTCCTAGTCCTATAGTTTACATTGCATTACATTTACGTTACAAGAATTACAAGAATTACAAGAATTTTCGTAATCCTATAGTTTACATAACAAAAATGATATGAATCCTATAGATATTGTTATTAGAAATTACAAACTACGACATTACATTTAGGAACTCAATGACTCGTTTCGTTTTCATTTTTCTAATATTTTGTTTAGATTTATTGGATTGCAGAACATATAATTGAGGAGACCTTCACCGAAATTAGAGCTGGTAGCGAACGTGTTAACGTGTTAAGGGTTGGTATCGTGGAGCCGTTGAGGGGTGTTGTTCCACGAGCAATGATAAATATCGATGATATTCGGAAGACTAGGGATTGCATTCCCTTCGATTTTCTAGCTGCTGCTACGCAACGCCCTCGAGAGACCGGTTCGTTAAGGGAAATTCGCGATTTCCCGACAGGTCGGACGCGCGAGTCTTTCTTCGCGTAAACGCGCGCGGAAATATTACCGTTTTACGAGCCTCGGAGCTCGCTGCAAGCTTCGGGAATTTGCATCGTGCAGCGCTCACCGTTTTCGCTACTGGAAATATTCTACCGCAACGAAAAATCCAATTTTCTTAATAAACCCCGAGCGAGAACGAGAGAGAAGCACTCGTTTCTCGGGAAATTGTGCTCGAAACTGCAATCGTTATGTGTGACTCGGGCTGCCGATAATTTAAGGTATCTACAGATAATATTTCTCTAATGAGATGAAACGAGAGGTTCGAAGCTGCGTTTTCAAACATGGTTGTATTGATTACTATGAATTTTTCCCAATTTAAGGGACTGCGTAAGGTGCATCCTCTGCGCTTGCGAAAATACTCGCGGTGATTAGAAGTGATAACAAACCCTAATTTCCCGTTCGTTAATGTTTGCTCATGCTACTATATATAATAACATAATTTCTAAAAGAAGAACGCATACTTCAACCTGTTAATTGTGGAATTAATTTGAAAGTCAAAAAATGGAGTGACTACTTGTCAAACGCAGGACGAATGCACTTAGGGTATATTTTAATGAAAAACCAAAGCAACAAAGAAGAATTACATGTTTATCTGAGAAAATAGAGAATTCATCGTTGAAAGTATTACTATCATTTCGATTAATTAATTAATTTTTGATTAATTAATTGTTAACTAGTTCATTTTAATAAGTATATCTTACAAGAATAGCAAATCGTTATTTCAAAGCTTGACAATGTCATGTTACAATCTACGGAAACATATTTGTAAGATACTGCATTGCCGCTTGAAATAGCGAAATTTGTGCGTGTAACGCTGGTTGCAGATCTCCAGGGGCGAAACACCTTTAATCAGTGCGACATAGACAGGTTTTTTTTTTATTTTTTAAAGAGATTTAGAACCTTTTATAGTTTATTGCCCAGTGTAAGTGGTTACAATATCTTATTACTAGCTTATACTATTTTTAATGGTATTTTGTTTCTCTTAGTTGTCAGCGATTATTTGGGGAGTTTGGTTTTATTTTTGTTTGTTATATCTTGATGTTGGTTTCCTTCCAGAGTTTATCTATTATTTTTAACCCTTTGCGGACGAAGATTCTTTGAAATGTTCAAAACCATCAACAGATGAAGCTAAATTCAATATAAATTGCTTAAATAATAGTAAAAACAGAAGCTACATGCTAATCTCTTGCTGTCAGAGTAATTAGATTATTTGCTTGCGACTTAGGCTTCCAAATCTGAACGTTTCATCTCGACGAAATGTCGACATTCATCCGCAAAGGGTTGAAAGGTAGATTTAGGTGGCAAGCGACAGTGGCGCCATCTAGTGGCGGGGCATTTTCGAAGCTTCTCCCTATATCTGCAATGTGTAAGACAAGGACAGAGCTAGTGTGCGACAAGGACAGAGATAGTTATCCCCGTGCCACCTACTTGGAAAAAGCATCTCATCAGTCCCTGGTACGTACTCGTGAAGCATCAGGACCAAAGAGGTATCCAACAAGGACGGACATATGATATGGCGGGAGAAAGACAAGGATGCGCGATGGCGTCTGCCGAGATGTATAAAACCGACAGAAAATTCATTAATATCTCTATTCTCGTTGATGTCTGATTAATATTCGTAATTAGACTAAATAGAATAGACCCTCAGGTATTTTATAATAGTACCTTTGTAGGAATTATTTTTCGCGTTAATTAGTTATTAATGGTTCTTTAAAATAATGTCCTGAGGTAAACTAGAATTTGTTGTGCATGGTAAGGTAATTAATTTTTTTGGTTTACAGGGATAATTGGTGAACTTTTGCAGTTAAGGAAATTGAATGGAATTCATAGCGCTAGAATGGTACTAATTCTTGTGGCGTTCATGTTGTAATTAGTGAGTTATTAGCAATTTTCGGATGGTTTCATGCTATGGAACGTGTAACACGAGAACGGCAATAAATGTTCGTGAAAAATTGTTAATAACTCATTTCCTGTTAATAATTTATACACATTTGGACTCGCGGAGGATAGAACAGACTATCAGCAACTTTCACATTATCTTTTTGCTTAAGTTCCAGTTCGGATTGAAATGTTATTAACAATTCTTGTACGCAGTGTCCCGAAGCGATTTCAAAATATTTGATAAGGGTCTGGTAAATCATTAATTTCCTAACTTTCCAGACATAATTGGTGACATTTCGAAGCTGAAGAAAATACATTGGACCTTCAGCAACATTTCAGATATAAGTTTTATTACATTCTAAGTCGGATTAATGATTAATTAACAATTTTCAGAGAGGGTGTATTTCGCTATAGGAAATACAATGTGTAAGACAAGGACAGATATAGTTCGATGGTGGTGCCATCTATTTCAAATACGTGGAAACTACTAGCCGATTAGTATTGAACTACAACCGCTAGATGACGCTCATCCCGCGGAAAATTTTGTGAAGTTCAAATTTAATAATAAACCTCAATTCAGTTGACCATATTAAATGCATATACTATTACAGAATAATTTAGTACACTGCCACTTAGTAACTGGTAATTATAGAATATATATTTCCCAATTTCAGTTTTTTAAAGATTTCGTTTAAAGTTAATTATTTATTTAAAATTCTGTAAACCCTTGTCTCAGCAAAGTCTAATGTTTTGAGACAGGTCTCTAATGAAACATTAATTTTGTGGTTTTACAGCTCTAATTAGTGATCTTTCATAATTCTGGAAGTTCGAGAGCATCTTTAATAATATTTCAATAATAATCGTTCTTAGATTTGGCCGGTAATTAATTAGTTATTAGCGAGTTTATTGGGTTACTGTTTGCCTTAATGTTTCCCATGTGTAAGATAAGGAAAGATAGTTTTCTTTTTGGTGGTGGGAGCGAGAGAGAGAATATTTTAGTTCCTGAGTTTTACCGCTAGATGGCTATAGTGTCGCCGTGTCCAGAAATCGGATTTTTGTAAAAATTCGTTAATTGCAGTAAATGTGTGATGTTTTCGCACCATGTCGATGCTGAGGATCTTTGTAAGGAATTTGGGACGGACAGCGTTAATTTTGAGCCCCTGGTTTTGGAGTATTTTGATTTTTTTATTTGTGTAATACTCATGTTCGCCGTTAGATGGTGCCACCATTAACTTTCTGAGCATTTAGCGGTTATTCAACATTACTATGGCAACGAATATGTAAACCAAGTTGTGAAGTGTCTAATATGAATGAACGTGTACTTTTAATAATATTTTGTATTGGATATTAAATTTATAATGGAATTAAAGTTAGATAAACTCACGTACTCGACTATTATATGAATTAATTATTTTTCATTGAATTAGTGACTGTTTGCTTAAGGTTTTTATCTAAGGAACTATAGGATTCTTTGTATGACAATTTGAAAGTGTCACTAAAGATAGAGAAAATAAAAGAATCATGTCATTATATTTTGATACTCGTGTTCAAAATCCTGAGACAGCTTCAATAAGTACTCATGCGATTTGGCACTCGAATTATCCTTTACTAGCAGTAGCTGCATATTCTCAGGATAAGGGTGGTTTTGTTACAATTTACGATGATCAAGGAGAACCTGTTCAAGATGTAGAATCTCCGAGACACTCTGTGGCTCAGGTGACTGCACTTGGATGGCATCCTGAAAGACGATGGCTTGCAGCAGGATGGGAAAGCGGGGAATTAAGGATATGGCCTGGTGATACCGGTAGCATAGAATTCAATGTAATAGTTACTCCGCATCGTGATCCTATCAATATTTTACAATGGAGTCAACATGGTGGAAGATTAGTCTCTGCAGATACAGGTGGATCTATAGTTGGATGGAAAATAGACTCCAGAAGTCAATTATTAATGATGTTTCACCATGAGTTAAAGGATGCATTTGCACAAATAGTTTTTAAGACTATTCCATCAAAACCTGCAATCGATATAAGGTCTCTATGGAATACTGTACTCTTAGATTCATTTATGAGGATGGAATTAAGTAATATAATTATTTTTCAGTGGATTAGCTAAAGCTGCAGTTGCAGGAGATGAAAGAGCTTTAGATATGTTCAGCTCTTGGCGTCCTAGAACTGCAGCACCAACATCCATTTTAAATCAAAGGGATAATCATGCTTTTTATCTTGGTACTACAAGTGGAGTAATATATTTCATTGATAATCAAGGACAATGTACTGAGGTTCTCAATACAAATGATGCTGCATTGCAGTTTATGTTGCATCATCAGACCAGAGATTCTGTTATTATTATGACAGAAGGATTGAATATAGGACATTTTCAGACTGATCCTATCACTGGACGACTCACGGAATTAACAAATGTAGGAGCAGAATTTTTTTTATTTATTTATTTAAAAGTCCGTTACATTTTATTTTACATATCACACAATGACATGTGTATCTTCTTGACAGGTGAAACTTAGCAGTAGATGTGATATATCAAGAGTAAGTCCAGCATTGTGTTGGGCTGGTGGAAATACTTTAGCAATTCTGACAGGAGATTTAGGCGTTCGTTGTTGGGATCTGCATACTGGAGATACTTATGTATTGAGTCCACCAGATTTATCCACGGGCAACATAGCTACTCCTCAAGAAGTCTGCACCAGCATATCTTTCTGTAAAACAAATGGTACTATCAGTATTTAATTTTATGTACAAGCTAAAGCAAGTATTAGGCAATATATTATTTATAATTGGTAGGTACTTTGGTTGCTGGAACAAATTTGGGAACAATTTATTTCTGGAAACGTAAAATCGAAATGGACAGTGATGAAAATGCTTGGCCAAGTGTACCAGAAACATGTAGCATCCATGGTACAGTGAAGCAACTTACATGGGGTGCGCTCTTCTTGAGAAGCCCGCTTTTAGCAGTCAATTGTATCACTAACGTATTCATATTGCACCAACAACCAATGTGTGCCGTATATAATGACGGCGTTTGTGCCAGTCAAATTAGTCCTACTCAGATTTTGATAGAGATTGAAAACTTGACTTATACATTAAAAACAGATATTCAAGTACAGCTTGTTGCTGTTAACAAAGAGTATATCGCAGTCTCCTCTGGTAGACACATTTCAGTTTATAGGATTCACAAAGAAAATTCCTTAAATGCCACTTGGATTACAAGCTTCAATTGTGACACAGAAAAGCTGTTAATCTGTGACCATTCTTTGATTATTTTAACCCCTGTAGTTATACAGTTGAGATCAATGGAAGGTACAATTATTCAGATGTTGCCCACATTACCAGAAGAAGGTGAACCGATTACTATGGATTTGACAGGGCAGTATTTAACGGTCGCATCACTAAATGGTATATTAAAAATCTGGGATTTGAGTAAAAGGGAGGCAAAATTGCACACTAGAGCAATGGCTACCTACGAAGCCATCAGTGATTTCGCTGAAATCATTGAGGCTACGTGCAATGCCGACTGTCGTTGCGTGTCTATTACAGTTGCCATGGCAAATTTGATGCCCAGTTCCATTTTATACGTGTGGGATATCGAAAGCGATCAAATACACGAGTTTGATTTTGCCGAGTCCTACGACATTGATGAAGATGATACTGCTCTGGCCGTAAAGTGTAGAGGAAGATTAGTCACTGCACACTGCTGGGACGTTGAAGATCCTAGACTTCTGGTGTGCCGTGCTCAACGACTAGAGACACGAGATTCTAAACAAGCGTCCAAACAAACCGGTGAAAATGAATTCGACGTCTGCAAATCTACCGTAGTTTTGGTGTCAATGTTTGCGACGTCGGATCATGGAATTGTAGTCCAAGACATAAAGCCAATAAAAGACGATAATTGTAGAGTGTTAGGTGTTCACACTCCGCATATAATCATTTTGAATTCCGAGAAGTCGGCGGAGAGGAGTAGTAAAGTTCAAAAACTGCTTATGAGGGACTTCGAAGAATTAAGTTCATGTGATTCCATCACGAAGAAAGCTGTATTGGATTTTAGCTTCTACATTAGCATCGCGAATATGGATGAAGCTTTCAAAGCAATTAAATCTATTAAGAATGAAGGCATCTGGAAGAGTCTGGCAAGAATGTGTGTAAAAACGAAGCAACTAAACATGGCCCTTTTATGTTTAGGTCATATGAAGCAGGCTAGAGCAGCTAGAGCCCTTAGGGAAGCAATGCAGAGTGATAACTTAAATTTAGAAGCTAAGGTTGGAATACTAGCTGTAGAATTAGGTCTTTACAATGACGCTGAACACCTTTTTCGTGAAGCGAAGAGGCTAGACCTCTTGGGCAAGCTTCTTCAAGCCCGCAACAAATTCAAAGAAGCTATAGAGTTATCGAGTAACGAAAATAAAATCTGTGAAAAAACCAGTTGTTATAATTATGCAAAAGCTCTTGAGCAAGAAGGGAACATTTCAGGAGCTATTGAAATGTACACTAAAGCAGATTGTCACAGGTTTGAGGTACCAAGGATGCTATTGGTGAGACCTAGAGAGCTTCTAACATATTTGAACAATTCTGATGACACAGAAATAAAAAACTGGCATGCACAGTATATAGAATCAACAGGTGATATGGAAGGAGCTTTGCGTTTGTACGAACAAGCCAAGAATACTTTAGCAATGACGAGGCTACTTTGTTATTTTGGCAGAGAGGAAGAAGTCAGTGAATTAGTGTCACGAACTAATCACGCTGCTTCTGCGTATCACTTAGCAGCACACTATGAATCAAACAATAATGTAACACAAGCCATTCATTTTTATACTATTGCTAAGGCTTATACAAACGCTATTCGATTGTGCAAGGAGCATGATATGTACGAAGAACTATGGCCCCTGGCCGTATTGGCACCACGACAGTCACAGATAGATGTTGCGAAATATTATGAAGACAACGATCAGCCAGATAAAGCAGTTTTATTGTTTCATAAAGCTGGTTTGCTGCATAAGGCTCTGGATATTGCATTTAAAACTAAACAGTACAGTGCTTTACAGCTTATCATCATGGATGTTAATGCAGACTCAGACCCTGCCCTAATATTGAAATGTGCTGAATATTTCGTACAAAATGATCAAATTGAAAAAGCGGTGGATCTGCTTGCAACAGGAAGGAAGTACATCGAGGCTTTGGAATTAATGCAACAACACAATATATTATTGACCGAGGATTTAGCAGAGAAAATGACGTTAGATAAGATTGATAACGATGCAGAACGCGAGAAGATTCGTATTTCTATATTGGAAAGAATAGGTGAAACGGCTTTCGAGCAAGGGAATTACCACTTGGCTACTAAGAAATTCACTCAAGCTGGCAATAAATTGAGAGCGATGAAGGCTTTACTGAAATCTGGCGACACAGAGAAGATATGCTTCTTCGCCCAAGTTTCTAGGCAAAGGGAAATCTACATCATGGCTGGCAATTATCTGCAGTCATTGGATTGGCAGAATCAACCGGAAATACTGAAAAATATAATCAACTTTTACTCTAAAGGGAAAGCGATGGACTTATTGGCTAACTTCTACGTCGCTTGCGCCCAAGTGGAGATAGATGAATTTCAAAATTACGAGAAGGCTCTGGATGCTTTGAATCAGGCCAGCAGATGTCTTGCAAAAGTGACAACACCGAGGGATCCAAATATCCATAAAAGAGCTGTTGACCTTGTGAACAACAGAGTAGCGACGATTAGGCGTTATGTGGATATCAAAAAGTTAGTTATGCATGTTCTAATAATGAAATTTATATACCTTTCCTTGACTGTTTAGTAGAATCCCCAAGTGCACAGTATAAAATGTTGTAGGTTATTTGACAGAGGCGACACGGCGACTGCAATGCAACAGGTGCGTCATTTACTAGATTCTCAAGGTTCCGATCTGGAGCAGTCCGTGAGACGTGGTGATTTGTTCGCCACTATTACCCAGCACTATATCAACATAGGCGACACTGACAAAGCACGTGCCACTGTAGAGGAATTAAAACGTTTAGTACCTGGAATTAACTTAAATTATTATTATAATGTGAGCGTGTTAGAGGCACTTGGTTACAAAATGAAGGTTCAACGACAGGAGAGCTCTGACAAGGAGGAGGACATCGAGGAACTTTTAGGGGAATAATACATGTATCTTGTTTCAATTTTAAACAACGATCCGTCCATAATTGTGATAGACGTCTTAATAGATTATGCTTTTAATCATGTAAGCGAAAGAAAAATATAGTAAGGATGACTTGGTAATGCAAAAACAAAAGTGACGAGACTCTTTTCTGAACATTTAGAAAAAATCATCATTTAACGTTTATTAATCAGATTTATACAAGAACAACCTTACTCCTTGATATTGAAATCCTAAGAAAGATAAGAGTTTAATTCCATTTGGACAGTAATTCATAGCTTGTCTTCACTGTCGAGACACTTATTAGGTAAAATAAATAAACAGGCATTAATGAAAAGGATAAAGTAAAACACAATGGTGAGTATAATCATCGAATAAAAAAGAAAGGAACGAAAAGTCTGAGAGCGATTCCAGTCTACTTTGCGTTAAAATATCTTTCACATGATCGAATCGTTCTTTCGCGCTGAATGCAGCATTTTAACCCTATCTTGGTCCAACTCTTCAAATTTTCAGAGTGGTACAGTTTTTAGTAGATCACCCCTCGAAACAAAGTAACGATCAAGAGTGTTCCAAAATGCACCGAACCAGTCTTCAAACGGCTTTTTCCGGCGTTGGCTTTTTGCACGGCGACGCGGTCTCCGTTTCCGGTTCATCGGCTTTCCGCTTCTTGCGCACCAGGTGCGATATATCACTCGCCGGCTTTTGAATTTTTGGCGTGGAACCTGAATCACTACCGCTTGGACCGGCTCCATTCGAACATCCGCCAGCAACTTTAATTTTAATACGCTCTATCACCAGTTTGCAAGCGTCCTGCTTGAAATCTTTCATGTCGGAGATCTTTTCCCTGATCTCCGGCAGCAGTTCTTTCAGCTCCTGGATCTCTCCCTCGACGGTGTAGAAGGAATCCTCGGTTTTCGGTGGTTCTTTCATCTCTTCCAGCTCTTTGATGCGTGCCTCTAACAGCTCTGTGGCTTTGTTGAATTCGTCTATGCTAGAATCGAACTCGTTGCCCAGGGAATGAGCCAGCGCGAGCTGATAATGGATCTCCGCTATCGCCCTCGGTTCCCGTGGCTCAATCTGTTGCAGAAGCTCCAGACACTTGTGCAGATCGTTCAGAGCACCTTGGAAGTTCCCTCCTTCCATGGCTACTTCCCCTAAAAGCCGATAAGCATCAGCTAGAAGCTTCCAACCGGGCTCCCCTCGCTTCAGTAACACCAGCTTCGCTAACTCCAGGACCTCCCAGGCTACCTACAATTAACACAACCATTCCATTGTTAATTCACCATACCAAATAGCATACAATTAACACGTTGAATGCCATGGGGCTCACCGGTGACCCCCAACCAAATCGAATTACTATAGTTCACTCGGTTAAACCATGATTATTTGAAAACATTTCTACATTATAAATAATGCTAACTAATATGGTGACATTCAGCTAGATGAACCTGCAATAATAACAATGCAATTCAATCAAATGTTTCAATATTATATTTTTTCCATTTCAAGTATTTTGTACCATGAAATCATGCGGCGTTCAACGTGTTAACTAAATTCTGACTAAACTACCAATCGTCTTAATACTAAATAAAACTATACCTGTAAATTATTAACTTCATCTTCTTCATCCTCCTTCCCAATGTCCTCGGAATCATCCTCCGCGTTCTTCTTCACATCACCATTCTGTTCGCTAGAACTGGATGGTCCATTGGCGTGATTCGTCTCTTTACTAGAGCCAGCCGCAGGCTTCTCTTCCTCTTCCTTTTGCTTCTGTTCCGTGGCTTTGCTGTCGTCGGTCTTATTCGAATCCGACTTCTCCGGTTCCTGTTTCTCGCCACTGGCCTCTGCCTTCTCCTCCTTTTTCTCCGATTCTGGCTTAGTTACTTCCTCTGTGTCTGTTTTCTTTGGTTCTTCCGCTTTCGCGGATTCCTCCGGTTTCGATTTCTCTGGCTTGGCCTCCTCTTGCTCTTTTCCCTCGGCAGCACCAGCGTCGTCGTCCTCCTCTTCGTCTTTCTCGTCCACGTTACTCAGCTTCTCGTCCTCGGCCTCCTCTTCATCTTCGTCCTCGTCCTCCTCCGCTTCCTCTGATCCTGGCACCGCGCCACCCAACACTCCGGCTTCCTCTCTGGCCAAACCGAGAAGGGCGCGACCGTAGAGGAGATAAGGCTCGCCCAGCTCGTCCGCGGTGTCCCCGTGCTTTTCGGCCAGCAGCTGGCAGGCTTGCGCCAACGCGGCCACAGCCATGGTGTAATCCCGCACTAACAAGTGCCGTTTCCCGTGGGAGATCGCAGTTGCCGGGTCGGTGAACGCTGCATTCTCGGCGACGTCAGCCATCTGCAACGCGGGAACGTGTTTTCGTTACGCGGACCTCTGTGTTGTCTTGCTCCCCATCGCTATGAGAGCTTGCGGATCGGATTCATTTCAAGTTCACCGTCAAAAAATACCGTAATGTAGATAAGCGGAGAATTCACAGAAGTGACGATACTTAACGTATCAATTGTAAATATTACAACAGTAACAATGATAAAAACTATAGAATGAGTTTCGCTGCCATATACGCAGTATTGGACTCAGTAAAAAAAGTGTCATGCTTATATGGCATTGCTTCGTTAAGGGTTAATTTTAATTAATGCCATTTTTAATTTTATTTCTCTTTAATTTTCAGTGACAGATAATACGAAGTAGCAAGTTTGATAAAATTATATCTGGAAACATACTGAAATTAACTCTTTGAACTCTGTAGGCTTCAATATTGCACCAGTTATAATATTAAATATTTCAATGAATCTTAAAGAAACCACCCTAAAATTATTCGATTTTCCACGCATCCGAATTTTGTACTAAGAAGGAAAATAAAAGATCGAAGAAATGTTATATTTCTCATTTTCGCTAGGAATACTATAAAAATTAGTAGCAGTTATTGATAGATTGTAAAACAACCTGGAGTGCTAAGGGTTAATATACTCGAAACATAAGGCTGTACGTAAATGACGTGATTTGTTTAGAAGACTATTAGGCTAAATTTGGCTTGTACAGGTTGACAGGCGAGGATAATATTATACACCATTGATTCGAAGGAAAGCGATTCACCCTAGTTATATATTCTCCGCTAAACCCACGCCAACGGCATATAATATCGAGGGCGCGCTATATGCCTCTGATCAATTACCCACAACAATGGCCAGCGTTTTAATATCGTGACGCAATTAATACATGAATAGTACATTCCAGTCACGCTTTCCACCCGCATAGAATATAACGCAATACCCGGCAGCATCGGCGAACGGAACGTTAACACTGATTCAATAAAATCCCGGGGCGCACGGAATCCCGAGGGAATTCGGCGGTCATCGAACAGCCGGGTCATTCGTTGCAATCAGTTGTAATCTTCCAACAACGTCGCGCAACGAACATCTGGCCAATGCGTCCGCAGCGAAACAAATGCGTCAGGGTGGCCCGGAGAATGCATCATTGTGTCCTAACTGCAATACGGCTCGCTACGCCGAAACTGATTTAGCAAACTGCTGGAGCTCGTTAGAGGATCTAGCCTCAGGAGATCGGATTACACGGCGAACTCGGGGGACGCTGGTTTCGTATAATCAAATGATTATCCCTGTCAGATTATACCTCGCGATCGCAGGGTGTCAAGGGATGCGGGACAGAATGCGGACACTGCGCAAACAAAAATCGAAAGCTAGTTAACTGCCACTTTTCTCTGAAGCTACAGGGACCAAGTGGGATTAAAGTCTAGCGAGAGTGTTTAGTCTGAGCATAAGTGTCTTCCTAAAGTGTACCTAGCAGCCAACGCGATTAAGAGTACTTCCCGCAGGTTCTAGGATCCTCAGACCTAGGACCTTCGGTGACCCAAAATCTTTCAAACCCAGATCCTCGTTAAGGTCCTCAAGTTCAAATCCTTAGGACCTGAATACCAAACTTCTACGATGAAGACTACGCCAATTTAGTTTCCACCTTACTAAAAAGATGAAATACTATAGGACTTCCTGAAGTGAACTGGGTCAGATGTTTCGAACGCATGGGCCTGTGTATCGCTAAGTTGCGTGAGATTTGGAAAAGTGCGAGAAAGAAACAGCGAGAGCGACGAACGGGATGAAGCATATAAGGGCGGTTGCCAAAATAAAGGCGCCCCGAAAATCGCACGAACATTCTCCGAGTCACTAAGTGAACAGCATGAGTCAGCGAGTCTCATAGTTGCAGCATCGCGACTCCGAATAACCTCTTTCATCATGAAAACCGTCAGTGCTTCAGTTGTTTACTGCACCACGCGAGACTCCCCGAGAACCAATCCCCACAATACGAACTTGCAAGACCTACAGTCGCGATCTATACAGAATCACCGATACCCTTTGCAGAAGTCGAAGTGAAGCGTGGTTGCGCCAGGCCGACCGCAATGGTGCACTGAAGAGGATCCTCGTAGCCTGCAATGCCAGCGATCGCAGCGGTTGGAGGGTTAGGAAGTCGATGGGGTCTGATCATTTCGAAAGAAAGTAGCGGCTACCGGACTGTTCGGGCAAAGGGCAAGCCGAGACGATAACCCGAGACGAGAAGACCGACGCGGCGGAGGGCGGGAACGGGTCGAAAGGGTGGAAGGAACGAGACGGGGTGTGGGAACGGCTGCGAAGGAGCAGGAACGGGTTGTTCCGCAGCATCCGGGTGGGGTGGTAGCCTGTTGGGTGGTACACGTCGGTCGATTTTCGTGCGCTTCGACGCAGAACGGAGATGGCGTGGTGGTCGTGTTTCGCCCCCCTCGTCGTTGCCGGAGAGAGAGTCGCCGAAAACAGAGTCTCCGGGGGGTGTCGATCGGTCAGTGCGTAACTGGCGGCTGTCGGTGCGGTGTGCGGGTTTCTCAGTGGGTTGCCAGCGGTCGCCCTGGGCACCACCTGCACGGATGGAGCCAACCCGTGTACCCAGGGCCCCTGGTCCACGTCTCGTTTTCCTCGTCGGCACGCTGGCTCTGACTTTCGCAGGTAAATCCTGGGGACACACGCAACACGCCTGCTCGTCGCACGCTTCCTAGCCGTTCGCTGCGTTTCTCCGTGTTTTTGTTTTGGCTGTCAACCGGCTTTCCGATCGGCCCGGAGGCAATCTTACGTAACGAACGACGGACGGATGATTTGACTGTCATCCGCGCTTCTCGCCGTGCACGCTGAACCACGCAGGCGGGCCTACTTTTCCGTCGCGTTTCGGCTTTCGTACATGTGCGGTCATTTCTCGATCAGCTGATCGCGACGGATCAGCTTCCCACTTTTCGCACGCTCGAAGAAGTTCGAAAACTTGGAGCAACTGCCGGAGAACCAGCGGTGCATTTTCAAGATGTTTTTCATGGACGTGATTGTACGTGGATGTTGTTCAACCGGTGTTAGGTTTGTAGGCAGCGTTACGCAATGGACGACGATGGACTGGGTTCAGTGTTTCTTTTGGGAACGGTGGAGAGATCGTTTCCGGATCGGTTTGCTCGAGTCGCTTCATAGACGCACTGTTGTTTGCTTCGCGATCAGCTGATCGGGAAAATCTTCCGCGATGTTGTTCTCCGAAGTGTTTTGAAAAAAGAATTGATTTACATTCGATGCGGTTGATAGACGAATCGATCGCGCGTCGGGCGAGGGGACGGTGTCAACGGATACAGATCTTTAACCGCGCGAACCTCCGCGTAACCGTATTAATGGACAATCGATGCGCATTCCGATTGGTATGCTGATTAATTTCCTATTCCAATCATCCACACGGCGAATGATAGCCCGCGATCGATGCCTCGGGGAGCACGTGGACATCGATGCACTTTGTGGAGCAAGTAGCAACATCGTCAATCATTCGCTGATGCTATCTCGTGAACATCCACCACCTTCTAGAATCCTCATTCAGTACATACCCTTCTGAACTCAACAAAACTCAATCCTCCTTACATTATCGTTAAACCACAAACTCTATTATTCATCCAAATCAAAACCGCTCTATCAAACACAACGTTCAAAACATTCGAAAACCGTCGAAGTAATATCTAGTTCCAGCGACAAAGGGAACTGGATTCACGCGAAGACCCGATCATTACCGTCAGTAATATCCTGTCTAATCCTAGCCGCGCGCGGATAAGATCTATCCTTGGTACGGTCTTGAATCCAGCAACCTTCGTCGCGCGTTTCCAGCTAATCGAGCCATCTAAACGCAAACAATCCTACACGATCCATAAAAACGTGGAGGACGACAGCGTTTGCTTGCGTCGCGTCGCGCCGCGCCACTTTCGATCGCCTCCCGCGGAGATCTCCATCGTTCTCTTCTAAGTCTTCGCGAGCCGCGCTCGTCGACGCCGCGGAAAGCTCATTAGCGTCGCCTCCGACCCGGGGGTTCAACACGGTCAGCAACCACCGGTTGAACTCGCCGCATCGCGCACTTTTTCACCGGTGGAATATGGTCACTCGAAACGGGCGCGCTCGAGGGCTCTCCCGCGATCGACAGCCATCGCGATAAAACGTCCCGAGGACACGCGGACCGTCTGCCCGTGACGCTCGCGAAACCCACCCTCTGGCAGGAACGCTCCCGGGGGAAACATTAAACGGGGGAATCTCGTTTATCGCGGTCGTTCGCGAACTGCGTTACAGAAGAATCTTTTCTTTTAATCCTACAGTCCGTAAGCTGGCCCGAAACAACACGGGCAACAGAATTAATTCGCCGGAGAAATAACTCGTGGAGGGACGTCCCGGTTCAGTTAATGGCCTAGTAGTATAAACCGGTGCATGGTCAGACGCGCGGCTGGCGAGACGCTCGGGCTTGCCGTTTCATTTCTCCCCGGTGATTAGATCCTGTTGGCAATGCTAACGAGCGGTTTGCGTCATTCCCCAGTAGATAGAAAAGAGTTCTCTTTTTATTGGCAAAGTAGTGGAACTTCGATTATCCGTTTCAAGAGTCTAGAGACGTGGAGAGGGGAATGATTCGAAGCACATTATTCGTATGTCTCGAAGTGAGGAAGTAGAATTAGTTTGTAGGCGATCGAGTATGATCGTAAGAATGATTCGTTGATGGCAGTCAGTGGATCGGTCACTTCATCTGACATAGTATTAATAAATTCTTTGCACTCTCAGTCACCGCTTGATTTGATTTGCAAAATTATAAAGTCTTATATGTAATATTGAACTTCGTATGATGCATCAATATGTGAAATATTGAAACAAAATAACTTTCGTTCTTAATTTATATATGTATCTCATCGGAGAATGTTGAATATTTTTAGTGAGAAACTTTCGAGTGCAAAGGGTTAAAGTTCAGTATTTAATATTTAATATTAAACTTCCTAGAAAGCGTCGCTACGTGAAACATTGAAAGATAGTTCCATCCCCTAACGTATCTACAAATTGCCGTGGAATTAGTTTCGAAAAATTGTCCACGTCTCATCGGAAAATGTCGGACATTCCCAGAGGGAAGCTTCCGAGTCAAAGGGTAAACGAGGCGCCACAGCAGTTTCATCTACCCTCTGAAAAATGAGAGCACCGAATTCACCCTCCCACGCGTCTCGAATCCTACGCAAACGAATCCCAAGCGAATCACGTTAGTCGCGCGAAAAGGAGCATAAACGTCGCGAGATCCGAGACAACGCGCGGAATCCTCGAATCGCAGTGTTTCCACGGATTTCTCGAAGACATACGAAGACAGTTCGGTCATGGGATAATTTCGGCGAGCTCCTTCGAGTTTCCGCGGGCAAGATCTGCCGGCGAGAGTGTCCGGCCCTCGAACAATCCGTGAAAAGGAGGCTGGCCCGAGGACTCTATAACTCCTCCGACACCGTTCCATTATCCGTGCATATCGCCGGAGGGTCGATCGAGTCTCCCGCGGACTTTTAAAATAACGAGGACACTTGGACACAAAGGGGCTGACGAGATCGACGAGCCGCGAGATATAGACGCGCCACGTAATAACGCCAGTTTTCCCAAGGAGGATCGGTCCGTTTCTGTTCCAGCGACTGGCCTGATGTGCGGAGCAATCATGTCGGACCATTGGGAGGAGGTCAGCTGGGATAAGACGACTCTGACCCTAGCGAACGTGACTCTCACGTGGTACTTGGACGGGCAGGTGGCGATGGTGGACCAGACGCACAGGAACCATCATCCTGGAAGACGACCGACCTTCCTCGTCCCCATGTACGGCGGGATTTGGATCATGTGCGTGTCCCTAACGGGTGAGTGGCTCGACGAAGGTCTACGCAGGACCGTTTTTAACACTTTGACTGCTGTCACCCGAATTTCGGTGATTGCTTCTTAAAGAAAGTTAAATATTCAGTTTCTTGGCGATGTGTTCAACCGAATTTCGTTGGATTTACAAGATATAAGAAAGATAAATCGTTGTGGAGTGTTGACTTAGCTTCTGCTTTGTTAAGAAAACTGTTTCAACCTCATAGGAGCTTCGACGAGTGTTTACTTGGCAGTCAACGTGTTAAATTGCATTGCCCTAGAAACGCCGACTTTCTGCCGCTTGTATTACACGATGTCGTCGGGTAATCCGATGGGTAATCCGGTTTCTTTGGAATTGAATCTTTTTATCTCCGACGTTATATGTCACTCTTATCGCGAGGATCTCTTATATTAGCCTCGGGGCAACGTCGTCTCTCTCGGTTATGTTTTATGAGTTTCTTATCTTCGTTGTATGTCGTTCTAACGTACCGATGATGAGTAGTTCGGTATTCTCATTGAAATTAGATGTTTCCCGGACTTTCTGCATTTCGCGGGGATAAGAGAAAGGTTGAGAGTGTTTCGCGTTGTTAGAGCGGAAGATAGTCATCGATAGTATTCACGGGAAATTGATATCTCGTGCGAGCTTTCAATGATATTTCTTTCCCGCAATCGCACTGGCATGCACGTAGGTATATATCGACGCGACGACGAATACCGTTCTATATGCGGGTACCACCTTGACTCTGACCAAGGTATCGATCAGTCGATTACGATCTGAAACACCGCGCTGTCTGCCGTCGGCATGCCGTGACCGTGAACATCTCGGATGGTTCCTTCGCGGGAAGTTCGTGCCAATCACTTTCGCCTTTCGTGGGACGGTTTAAAGAGGAACCCACGGGAATTACCGGTTACTTATCCGATCGAAACTTTCTTCCCGTTTCTCGGTAGCAACAATCGCCGGTTAATAATGCGCGTTACAGCAGAAGCTATCGAGAAAACGAAATAGAAGCAAATCGTGTTTCACCGGTGAAACGTCTGGTAAAATTATATTTGCAATTTTTTTCTGGTATTATTCATGTTACTATTTGTATTAATTTGGTGAAATAGATTCACAGTGGAATTTTAAGGTTACCGTTGATAAAATACAATTTAGAATGAAAAGTGTAAGAGAGGAATTTTCTTGTTACGAATTCATCGCCGTGGAACACGTCGAATAAAGAAAACGAGTCTAAATTCATACGATTTGATCTCGCTGCCGGATGTTCACGGATACCGCTCAAGCTTCGTCGCACGGAAGATCGCGCAGCAACGCGCGTTTCGCGTTTTCTCCGTCAAGGAACAGTTTTAATGACGAACACGCCGCTGCTTGTTACCCGCCGCGTTAATTTCCAGCTGTTAATTGCACGAATATGTCCTTTCCGCGGGAATTAACAAAATGCTGGAGGACAGGCGCGTTTATGAATGCCGAACGCGAAAGGGACGGGGCGTTATTCACACTTAATTACGGCGAACGCCGTTAATCAACGCACCCCGTCACCCGTTTCTTTCATTACCTTAAAATACGAGGGCCGCCGCGGTGGTCACCGGTGACCGGAGCTTCCAGATTGCTTGAAAGCAATTGCAATGGAAATTATTTAGTCGCATAAGTAACTTGATAATAACTTCAGAACTGTGGTGACAAATCATTAATTATTCATTCTAATACTGTTTGCCTTTGTCACGAGAGAATAAGTAATATACAAAACGCTAGAAATTCTGGTGTTAACACTAAAATTACCGAGCAGTTAGACTTTTTAAAATTCTATAGAAACTCCAAGAATTTATCTACTGAGACTTTAGTTGATTTACGATTCAGCTAAATCAATTTCTTTAATAATTTCTCAGAGAAACATCTAAAGAAATTAAGACTTTCTCAGAAATACATCTAGAGAAGCTAATAATTTCTCAGAGAAACATTTAGGGAAATTAAGAACTTCTCAGAGAAACATTTAGAGAAACTAATAATTTCTCAGAGAAACATCTAGAGAAACTAATAATATCTCAGACAAACATCTAGAGAAATTAAGAACTTCTCAGAGAAACATCCGTTATCTTTTTAATAATTGCAACAAGAAGCTAGGAATGAGTCATTTTAATCTGTCTAGCAGTTTTAGTGTTAAAACACGAGAATCACCGGGTTTCATGTTTAACGCGCGAAGACACGAGCCGCGTTTCCGACGCTTCGACGGTTGTTTCTCGCGGCCGCCCGCCACGCATCCGCGTTTCCCGGCTCGCGAGAGCGGCACCGGCTGCCGCGATCTCGGGAAATCCACGGGAAACACCGGAAAATTGCGCCTTTCCTCGTCGTTCCCGCAAAGCAAGCGGCGGGAAAGGAAGCAGGTCGCGGAAAAATACGAGAAAGGGTGTGTCTTCGACGAAAATACCGTCCGTCCGGAGAAATATAGCCTGCGTGTCACACGCAGGCTATAAGACGTTTAGCTAATTAACTTAGTTACAACGGAATATTCTTTTACGATGTCGAGCCGATATATACGATCGAAGATAAAATATTTTCATAGTTCCCAAGGGAAGATTAACCCGTTCACTGCCAGGCAAATTTAGAGCACTTTGTCCTGGTCACTAAGATTTTATTTTAAGCAAATCACATAGATTTTCATAAGATATAATAATATCCAGTTGCAGATATAGTACTAAAATGAACATTGAATAATTGAAGATTATCTGCGACCCCCAACGAAATGGAATTACTATAGTCCAATTAAATGATTATTTGACATTTCTACATTATAAACAATGCTACCTAATGACATTCAGCTAGATCAACGCGCAGTAGCAACACTGTAATTCGATCAAACGATTGAACATCGTATTCTTCCATTTTACGTATTTGCTTTATAAAATCGTGCGGCAGTCAACGTGTTAAATTGTTAACGACGGAACAATTGATGAATCTCAATCCGTTCTACAAATAGAATCAAAGCGGAGCTTGTCGAAACGTTATCGATTGAATTGATCAAGTTCCTATACATACTGAATTTTGGAAAATTCAGGATGAATACACACTTGTCGCGCGATCGACGAATGAAGTCGGCCGTGGAAAGAATGAATAATTAGACGTTCCGTCTCCCAGCGATCCAGCCAGCATAATCGATAACCGGATTATCAATTTGTAGCCGCGCGCGTCGGTAACGAGCGGCTCGATTAGTTTCGCGTTCGAGGAATATCGGTTCGTTAACGTCGGCGAAGTGTTCTCGTTAACCGCGATATTCCGGTCGACGAGTCGTCTCCTCGCGAGTAGCGACGTCGGAAACTCGAATCGTCGCGAACAACGGAACCGTCCCCCCGTACCGTTAATCGAGAAAACTCCGAAAGTTGAACCTCGCTGCCCACGAAAGAACGCGCCTCTGCACGCGTGGGCGGTGCAATCACGCTTCGATTGTACCGTGTTCCTTTGATTTCTTCACTTCACCGAGGACCAGAGACAAACCTGGCGACCACCGTCTCGAACTTCCGTTTCCGTTCGCATTCAGTCCCGTTTCCGAACGAATTTCGCCGTGGATTACCAAGTCGGAAGATCGTAAAACTTCTTTATTCCACCTCGTGAAAAAACACTAAGAAAGAATCCCGTAGAACGCGAGGGTAGAATCAATGTTCCTACCATTTCAAAGGATTTCTACGGTTGTCCGAGCCTTCCTGGACATTAATGGACCTGTTCTAGTGAAACGTTTCGGAAAACGTGATCTACGATCTTCGGAAAACTCAAGAAGAACAGAAGACTCGGGTAGAAGGAATTTTCGTAGCGTAGGAGAATGTTATTCGACGATGAAATCTGTGGAACGTAGGTTTGCTAAGATTCTTGTATATATTAGCGACATTTAACTTTATTTTCTAGAGTGAAAGATTGTAAATAAATGATTTAATCGTTCAGACGACGAGAGATCGGTATGTGGATGCTTTGTTTTCTAAAGATTTAGAGTTAGATATATAATTTTGCTAGCTGTGACGTAAGCTTTGAATACTTGATAACGCTTGATCCGCGAGGGGTTAAAGTTTGCGGTGTTCGTAAGTGTCGGAGAGGTGTTCGTGGGTGCAGAGGAAAGTTATACCCATTGCGCCGAAGCTTTCAGGGTTCACGCAACTCGCGTCAATTTATAGAATGGCTGTTTATCCTGACCTTCGGAAACGTTTGAGGAGCCAGTCACGCGCGCGTACACGAATCGTTTGTTCATTTCCCTCGTTTTTCGGAAACTTCCGTCTGATGGCACCCGGTCACGCCAAGCACGAGATATTGCCGTGTACAGGCACCGACTGTAGGCACACGTGTGGCCCGAGGCTGCTCGACCTTTCCATGAAAATCAGCCAATAGTTCTAAACACATAAATCCCGAAGCAATTTTCTGACGACAGACCGGTTCCCCCTGCGAGCTTATAATTTACATCTCAATCGTGTTCCACCGCGCCGTCGTGTAACTGTAAACGAGTTCCAGGATTAATATAGTCATCGGACGGCGCGCGATGCACCGTGTAAAAAGGAAATATTAATCTGCAACTTTAGAAAGCCGGCGGGTGCTCGATCTCCCGTTGAAGAGATCCTAATTTCCCGGTTATTTCGCTCGAATTCGATTAAACCAATTCGCGGGGATCGTCCCGTGTAACGTCGATCTATCGGGATGATAATTGATACTCTAATTGCCGGATAAATCGAAATGAACTATCTTAAACGCCTTTTATAATAATTAGAAATATAAAACAGTACATTAACAACTTATTAAAGACATCCATTTCATAACGAATATTCTGAAATACAAGTCGATGAATAGGAGATCTTGCAATTTCTATTCGGAAACACAAGTCAGCCGATTTAATTGCTCGTTAGTTCCAACGTTAAACGTTAATGAGTTCGGAAACTGATCGTTTCGACCAACGGGTCGGCAACAAATTCATTGAGTCCTCGGGAACCACTTTACAGATGCTTCGCCGCTTCGAGAAGCATCAAAATGGAAGAATCGTTCGATCGTTCGCGAGTAAACCGCGACTCGATGCGCGTCGATCGATCGCTGGGTTTGACAACCGTTAACGACTGGTCCATCTTTAATTATCGCAAGCAGCGGAGCGCGTTATTCGAGCCGGTAACGAGCGCGGGTTTCGAGGAGAATAACCTAGACCCAGTGAACTTGGGTCGCGATCTATTTCTGCGTTGGGATTTATTATTGTTCGATCCCCGAAGTTTCCGCGGCCTCGGAGAGTTGCGGCCCCCGAGCGCGCCTCTTCCTGACATTTCACGGAAATCCGCGTTTCAAGTTTACGTCCCACTACTACAAATGTACCGATTATCCGATATCGGATCTCACGGCCGAGGAATTACGCGATCACCGAGTTAATCCGCCCGATCGTCGCCAACCGATCGGTCAGATGTGAAACACCGGGGAGAAAAATTAAGAGGGACATCACCGAGAGACGTCCTAAATATAGACAAACTTCTTTCATTGATAATTTGATAGATAATTGTCGGGAATTTTTTTGTTGATAATTATTAAGTGAAAACTTCTGATTTTTCTCTGGGTGTATACTTGTAACTTTCTACTTTATATTTTTTCTAAGACGAAGTGTTACTAAATGGCGCAGTTGCTCGCCAACATTTTAAGTCAAATGCATCGGTGTCGATCACGCGTGGCAATTCCTATAGAGAAATTTAGAAACAATAGAATTCTCAAGGAAACAGACCGATCGAAATTTCCACGCGCGTCTAGGTCGCAATATTCTTGTCCCCTCCGGAGTTCCAGTTTCGACATGGAATTTCAATTAGAATATTCGTTTGAAACAAACCAACGAACCATTCATAATTTCACCGAATCATTTCTCGGATAATTACGAACCTCCACCCGCCTCACTCCCACCAGTTTCTTTTTTTTTCATTCGAACGCGAAACGGGCGGAACGGGCCGACGGGAAAAAATTCAACAGGAATTTCTCATTTTCGATTGCGATAACGCGGTCGGATTTTACGGCAGACCGAACGCTCGTAATTCTTCTTTCATCATGGAGAAATATTCTACGGAGATCGTTTAATTAAGAGTCAGACAAGAACGTCGGGAAACGGGAGGGAGTATCGTGGGATTTCTGCTTCGCGGCAGAAGGCGGCGCGCGGGAACGCGACGGGGCTACCCACCGTTTCTTTCTCACTTCTGGTCGTTTCAGAGGACGAAATACGACTACTGGGTCAGGTAGGTTTCCCGCAAGAGAGGTGCATTAACTACTTGACGCCCGACGAAGCTCACGAGGAGATCCGTGCCGCCTGGCAAAACCGTGAGTATGATCGACATCCTCCTTCTTCTCACTCATGCACCATCGATTTCGCGCCGGGTTTTCACGTCAGTGATACAGAGTGAAATCCTGCGCGATGATTTCTGATGAATCGTTCTTCTATGCACGAGATTCCATGTCGTCTCAGCGGATATCTTTCGTTTCGACACTCAACACGTTTGAGGTCGAGTAGAAAGGTTTAATAACGTTGATAAATAAATAGTAGATGCGAGAATCGTGATACTAATTAGTTATTGCTTCCATTTACCTTTGCTATATGATAGGTGAACACTATTATGGCAGTCAACGTGTTAACCCTTTGCACTCGAGGGCGATTCTATCATTTGATTCGATAAAAGAAAATTATAACGTATAATATTGATTATTTATAATGAATCACTATTTAAAATACAGAAATAAAATAATTCTGTTTCTTAATTTAAGCGTGAATTCTTAAGTTTCAAACATGGTACAAGTCTCGTCGCAAAATGTTGAACAGTTCCGTTGAAAAGCTTTCGAGTGCGAAGGGTTAAGACTCTCCAATCATTCGTGGATGGTTTTATTCACGATGGGTCTCGTTTGCTTGCAGGGATGCAGAATTTGAGTATCTCCTGTTCCCTAGTTTGCCTGATTATCCTGGGCACCGCGGTTCTCATTGGATTTTTTGGATTGTGCAGGCATCAAATATCCGCGGTACTCGTCACGGGCGTGATGTACCTTCTGGCGGGTGAGTCGAACGGGGATCGATCGGGGAGATAAAAAACGATCGGCACGATACCCCGGATAATTGCGTTAACCGAAGTTCGCCAGCGTGTTGCGGTTACGGCCGGCAAGCTCGGCGACCGCGAAATAAGCGGTTTGTCCCAGCGAGCGAGCCTGAATACTGTTATGATGTCGCGACTCGATGAACCCGACGGAAATTCTCTCAGCCGAACGGATCCGTGGAAAAATGTCCGAATGTTTATGTTTCCGCGGACAAGGTCCGGATCAATATAGCCGCGAGTGTCCGATTTACATTTCCCTGTTGAATATTCCATCCAATCGTAACTCGACGCGAACTCGTTTCAGATTCAATTGGAATGAGTCAATAGGATTTCGATAACTTCTTACAAACGGGGAACGGTGTTTCCTTAACGGCTCTTCGCGCTCGCGGTTCCCACTGGCCGCGTCGCAAAAGGCAAACACTTCTCTTATCGCTGATAAAACGTTGCCCAAGGTTTCTCTTCGCGTTCGAATCCTCTGGCGTTAATGCTACGATTACAGAGGATTTTCGAGGACACGAAGGGCCAAACTTTGGAAGCTCGTACTGTCTACGATAAAGACTGTCCCACCTTGAAATTATACAAATCCATGAGTGTTAAAAAAAAATTAGCCTTTCTACTTGAAAAATGATATTTATATTACATGAACGGAATGATTGAGATTAGCTCCCAAGGATTGACTCGTTCCTAGGACCTCCTTTGACGAACGCGTCTAACAGGGAGCAATTGTTGCAGCCACGTTCGCACTGTTCACCCTGACGATAATTCATTTCAAGAGGGCCCAGGACCGCGGTGGGAGAATACTGGATGGGCCGGAGGATGGAGTGATCGGTGGACCGGCTCCGCGCAATCTCCTGAAGGCGAGACGTTTCAGCAGCTCGTGGAGCATGGACTTCGGATGGGGCGGGGTCACGCTCTGCACCCTTGCCTCGGTGGCGTGGATATTGCTCAGCAAGATAATGCGTTTCAGCCCCATCGCAGCTATGATAGCGTAGCAGTGGGAGGCCTTCGAGGTCTAAAGGTCGTTTCCAAGAGTAACGATAGTGTGTTTCGATGTCGACGACCCTCTCGATGCGCTTTAACCGCGGAAGAGGACGCGAGAAACGTTTTCACGGACGGGAAATGGGTCACCGACTGTTTGTTCTAGATTTAACGCGGATCAGCCGGGCGATCACGGGGGAAATTTTTCTGATTGCCGGCAGGTGATCGATCACGCTCGGAGACTGCGGAAAAAAAACGGGGACCTGACGAAAGGGGCTGAATAATCGTAGTTAATTATAGCAGGTGAACGGTGAAAGTTTAGGCGTAACCCTCTGGGAACTGTGTCTCCGGTGCTCCAGGAAAGTAGCGTGAAAATAGGGTCAGGCATTGAAACAAATTTTGAGAGTATTTTTTCAGAATCGAAATCACTACTGAAACCGACCACCTCGAAGGCGTGAGAGCACGCGTATCCGCGCACACCGGCAGGTGATGCGCGTTAAGTATTTTATTTGTCGACCTTTACCGAACACCTACCTGGGGAGGCTCGTGTAAGGCACGGCAAGTAACGAGTACAATTTTTGTCCATCACTCTGAATGCAATGTTTTGTACGATTTACCAAGTAATACATAGTCTCCGACACGGGAAACATAAACGGTTGAGTAAAGAGCCATACGAGGAGGAGGATCGCTTGAGGAGGATTCCGTGTAGACAGATTTTTCGGGTACTAGATTCTCGCAATTTTGAGTCGGTCGTGTAGCTACAGTTTTCTTTTCTTTTTGTCTACTGTTGCGTTTTCAAGCTCGACTCCGATGATCGTCCTTCCATATGGATCTTTACTACAAAAGTAAAATTATATACAGATGCATGATTACGAGACAGTGAGTAGGAGAAAAAAAAAAAGAATTGTGGACTGAAGAAGCGTTATGTTAAGATACCTAGAACAGTGCAGAACAGTGTACGTTTACCTCAGTTTTGGTTTGCACTTGGATTAGTCAATTAATGTGAAACCGTATAGTCTGTCTATTTAGACACACGTTTTTACCAATCTCCCGCGACATATTTTTTTATAAAGTTGCAACAGATATCTTGTTAAGTTCCCACAAGAACACACTGGTTTGAGCATCGAGCTATTTTCACACAGTTTATAGAAGCCGATGGGATATTTGTTGAAATTTTGCTTGAGAAGTTTCAATACAGAGCATAATACGATATAGTTGCCTATAGTGTAATTCGATCGCCTTATAATTAGAGAGATAAGCATGTTTGTAACACGCATAGTATAGCGTTAAACTTGTTCGAGCCAATATAAGCAACGATAAGCGTGTCTGCAAGAAAAATTTAGCTTTTGCTACGACTTGTTACAGCAAAAAAAAGAGGACTTATGCCAACAAAAAAATATATCATGTACGAAGGATTGTGAATTGCAATTCGTCCATTAAGATTTAAGGAGAACAGAGATGCTCCCGTTGGGAGTGTCCACTATGCCCAGAGCACGAGTTTTGTTGGTTCAATAGGACAGCAAAAAACAAGAAAAAAAAGTATGTATGCACTCTCAAAACTTTGCTCTGGGTGTTTATTTAAACGAAACGCATTTTTCTGATAATATTTTCTTGTCATATTTTTTACCTGACCCTTGTTATTTGTTATATCAGAATTAATGTATCATAAATGCAATATAAAGAATAAGCTACATATAAATAACACTGATACCCTTGACTTTTCACTTCTCCTGTATGCAATCGTACAAACATTATAATGTAGGATGACTGGATGCTTTAATTTATCTTGTTTGCAAAACTACTATATCTGAAAGCAAGCTTTTTACAGAACAATCACTTATGCAAAAACCTTGAAAATTGCTGCAACAGAATGGTAGCATATATAGCACGGATTTATCGTTTTGTTTCAAGAATAACCCGAGTCCCGAGTTATATTGCTAATGTTTTGGTCATTCTACAAAAATAGTTCTTGACATACAAAATGGCTCGGTCTTCGATCTGATTCACGTTTATACAGAATTCCCCTCGCATTCTAAATATACTGAACCGTGAAAATAAAATGGTGAAACGAAACGGACTTTATCGTGAATAATTTAATGAAACCCCGACAGAACTCGACAATTGAGGTTATAGAATGTAGTATAATTCTTTATCAATTGGAGGTTATGTTTGTTAAACAGATTTCACAAAAATATGGATCCTCGGTGGGGAAGTACACGCACACAACGATTCCTGCGATACGACGAACACTTGAACACGTGACCAGTCGTTCTAAGTGTGTATGTAACGCGGGACACGCTATACACTGTGTTCAATAACATTCTATACACATGCATGTACTAACACGTCACGTCTCCTCATGGATTCAAACAGATTATATTTTTTGTAGTGGTAAACAACAAAGGTAGTACAAGTGTGAACCGATCGGAATTCGAGAATGTACGTACAAAAATAAACCACGCGTTACGGCCACTATTGTCCGTTAAAACCATTCGAACAGAAAGTAATTTTATTTTCTGAACCTGTTAACGTGTATGGTTCCTTAACGTCGTTACTCCAACTAATACCGTTCACTGCACGATGTTACAGTTAAAGAGAACAATGCTGTACAAGATATCTCAAGATAATGCATGTTCTTACCTTGAATTTGTTGGATTTACTGGGGGTTTGACGCTTTCTTAACGATAGACACACTTTCACTGTTTCCTTAGAGTTTCGTACAGGTAATCTCGTTCCACACGATGTTTGATTTAATAGTTAGAACGTAAAATTTATATATAAAGAGCGAGGAAGATCGAATGGAACGACCGTTATGCCAAACAACGGTTTATTACCGGCACGCGTACACTTGTGCGAGCGTCAAGCACACAGAAACGAGGCGGACGCATCGATGTGAACGAAACATTTCGTGCGCATGCGCCCTCGTTTTGCCGCCATTTCTCGCCTTAAGGCGGGATAGGTTTGTCTTAGAAATATAACCATTTAAACTAAATCATTTATTATAGCAATGTATATACCCAAACTTCATTTAAAATTGAATTGTTTGTCAATACGTTCAACGATGAGTTTTTAACAATTGAAGTCTTGCGTGTCAATGTTTCTGTTTTCAATAGACCCTAAGCATTCTGATGCACTAGTATTAGTTCGATATATCGAATTAGTTCAGTAGAATATGAAATGTAGTATAAATAAATTTCGCGTATTTTGAAACATACTATTATTATATTAGAAGCAATAGAGTGTGCATGGTATAAGTACAGAGACGCCAAAAAATAATTATAAAATAGTATGTTTGACAGTTTGGTAAATCGATATATTTCGATATTCGCAATCTGCGCACTGAAATCTTTTTGAATTTATGCGCAGCTTCCCACAGTTCGTTGGGAATCGCATTGTGTCCAATTTGATCTATAGTGTCCTGATTCTTTTAAGAAATTTGATGGCTTATCGATTGAAAGTGAGTAATAATCCATTACATATCAATTATTAAGTATTTCGGGAATCGATGGAACAAAAATCAACAATGAACATTAGAAATATTCGATAACATCTTGCATACAAGAGAATGCATATCGCAGCCTGTTGCTTGTTGCGTCCTGTAACGTATTTAAAGCTAAAACAATATAAATTCAAAAAAATAATCAAAACCAACACTCACACTTAGTCAACTACGCGAAAGAAACAAATTAGTCATATTAGATTAAAATAGGAAACGATATTAATATATTAAAACGACAAAGAAACTGATCATTCTTGCAAATTCTCGAACCATCGAACATCGGCAGCCATTTTGATTCGCGCCAAATAGTTTGTGTCCACCGAAATTTTGGCTCTGTGTTTTTAACTTGAAATCCGTGGCAAAAGTGATCATTTCCTAACACAATTTTGCAAAAAGAATCCATATAGCAAAATCTAACAAATCACATAATTTGTTAACCCCTTAACTAACATTTTACATTAAAAAAATGGTAAAGAAGTATAACCTTAGTGCCTGCCTGTTTGCAGTTTAAAGAAATGTTATCCTCAACTATATTTCTCATCTTCGCCACTGGAACAACAAGAAGCCATGCAGTTATCGGTAAGAATTTTATTCAGTTCCTTCTTTTAATACATTTTTTATATGTTTCTGAAATTAGATACAAAAGGGTTATAGAAACAAGTCATCAAAATGGCGGCCGCTCCTATTGTAAAACAATAAAGAGTAATAAAAGGAGGAATTAGATTCTTCCACGTTCTTCCGGAAGATATCGATATTTTGATAAAGTCGAGGGCTTTGAGGTGCAATTATCCAGTTACATCGGGCAATTCGTTTCTAACGAGGCTGCAGTCGGCGGTGCTCTTAACCGAGATTCGACTATTGGATTTCCCGTGCGGCTCCTCGAGTCTTTGTCGGGCTCTCAGCTTTTCCAACGCGATATTCAATCCGTGCTCCGCGTTCTCTTCGCCGAGCAGTTTCTTCTTGCGAGTCGCCAACAATTTCTCTTTGATCTTCGCCGTGGCATGCTGCTTCCTACGGTGGTAATCCTTCCAGCATCGTTGGAAGCTCGCGAACGCGCTTTGCCAAATGCATAGCTCCTCCACTGAAGGAACAAAACTTATTGTCTTAGTCGCTTGTCATAGTGCGATAGCAATATATTTAGTAATTGCTGTTAAATGTACAATACCAAATAGTAATACTACTAAATGTATTCAGTAATTACTATCAACCCCTTGCCGTACAATGGCGAGTGAGACTCGTGACGAAGATTTCTGGACTAATTTAACAACAATCAATGTTGTTCATTGCCCACGGATCAAAGCAAACGACTGTTTTGCTATTATCACTGTATTACCTTCAAATAAAATTTCCACTTGAAGTGGAATGGACAATTTTCTAGCATTTCTTGCAAATTGTAAAATGGTACTTGAGCTTAGTGGCGAAAGTAAATAGTACGCCAAAGGGTTAAGTAATAATTATATATATTTCCTCGTGATTTATATCACGGATCATCGCAAACCACTAACGCGGCCTTTATACCGAATAAAATGAGGGTCATGACCGCGAACGTCCCCGCTGGTAACGTGACGTTGGGCACAAGCGTGATGACCAAGTTCAATATCGCTGGTCCCTCGCTCAGTACCATTCCCTGCATAGTATTCAGCAACCACGGCAAATAGAGATAAGGAATACCATACTTATCGGCCGCAGACATCATCGCTGTGGTTATCAATCCTGTGATTATATCCGTCACGAATATGGCGATTTTCAAGTCTGCAAATAACGCAATCACCACGCTCAGGACATTTTTCTATTCCGAGATAAGCGAAAGAGGACACTTCACTTGAACAGTTGGGCACACGCGAGTTCATACGGTTTCAAACGAACGAAACCGGTCGAAACGATATCTCGCGAGAACTTTTAAGGAAATTAATCCTTTCAAAGAGGAATGTCGTCATTCCAACATTAAAATTTAATTATTCGACCGACTGAAAGCGTAATGTTCATTCTATCCGACACTTAAGAATTCTATAGATAATTCAGTTCCCTCTGCAATGGATTCTTAATACTTTAAAGAGTCCTCGTCCGCGAAGGGTTAGCGGTCAGTGCTTGAGGTAGCGTTCAATAGTTAACGAGGTAATTGATTATTGAAGAATCATTACTGAAACTCCGCCGGAAAAGAGCATTAAAGGCGGCAGACTTGGTCGCCGTGGTCCCTAGGGGCGTGCGGCCTCCGGCTTCGAAAGCGATTGAACTCAAACAGTGCGTCGTGAAACGTATTAGCGCCAAGTACAGTGCTTCTACCTACGGTTACGTCACTCTGTACATTTTCTTTCGAAAAGTGCAACGATCAAAATCGCACGGCGGTCTTGGACGACGCTTTTCTACCTTGGCAACAGATTTCTTCGTCTCGGTTGCCCGTAGATCCTCCTCGTTGGAGCGACTCGAACTCTCTTTCAATTTAAGTGGCATTTTCCCGAGATTTCTTTCTATTTGGTTAACTTGCCCGCGTGTTTTCAATGTTGCTGGGTTGTAATACAGAAACAAAGATGGATGCAACGGTAATCGGCAATTTCACGTGTTCACGGCAGTCTTCTTTTATTACGAGATGCATGTACAGTGTGTCCGGTAAACGTTTTACAATAATTTCAACGGGAGACGATCGGACATCGACTCGGACGATCAACGAGATTGCCGGACCTGTTTGTGAAACAGACAAAACACTTGGAGCCAATTGTGCACGGCCAGAAAGGATAGCAACAGCTCGTCGCGTTTCACGTGGAGCCCGTCCAAAAATACTCGGACGCAGAACACGATTACTTCGACGATGATCACGCACAGTTGCATTAGGAGCCAGGGCGTGTGTAACATCGGGTATTCCTAGAAGAATCGTTCTAACCGTATTACTCGATATCAATTAAGCCTAGAAATAAGATTGTGATGAGATCAAGCTCACGGTTATCGCGCCCAGCATGATTAACGTGTAATGTTCTATTCCCAGGATCGAAATCATCAGTTTTAGGTCCCTTTCCACTTCTAGGGGAACTGATTGAACCAGTTATCGATTATTCATATGTAATTGGGTTATAATACGACGGGAATTGTAGGATAATTATAAACAAAAATGATTTCTTCGGGATTTCCAAAGATACTAGTGAGTTCTAATTAATAATCATCTAACTCACCGGTTTCTTTAGTTCTACATTGAGACGATTGCTTATTCGAGGTCTTGTTATTCATTATTCGAATGATGTCGAATGCTGTAATCACCTGGCAATCGAATTACCTTATCTTAATTTGATTATACGCGATCTTTGATATAACACAAGTGATGTAAGAGATTAAATGGAGATTGTTATTTCATCTACTTTCTCGTGAAACAATTAACGAATATTACGATCGACTAACGGTCCCAATGAGGCCCAGCACGATCACGTAGTATGAGTGTCCTATAAATTGATGGTCGCACAGGTTGCACGCTAGATGTCCGATTCGCTGAAAAGAGATTGCACTGGTTATCGCCTATGTCCTGTTAATCTCTGAATGAATACGATACTCAATCAACTGGATCATATCGCAAACTTGCTAATATTAATCACTGACAAAACGACCGACTAGAGGTCCGCCTCGTTCGCCATGTTTCCGTCTACTTCGTATTCTCATAGTTCGTCGGTCGCGTTCTAACTAATTAGTAACAATCCCATCGGCGTCGAGGTTAATCAAACGGCACGGTCGACTTTCCTTTATTATCTCTCCGCGATTGTAAACTTAAAGGAGCTATAAAAATTTCATTCGTATCGCTCGTATCGAATTCACCGAGGAGTTTCTTAAAATTCTTCGATCGATATGCCTCGTCCCGAGATTTTATTCTCCGCAATGACGAGAATGCAATGCCGTGACGTTAAACCGACGTACGAACGTATACACACAGACGCGGACAGAGACACGTGTATGAAGCATTGACGCTCACCGTATTTTTACTGCTCCGTACGATCGACGCCATAGCGGAAAGCAGCGAGCGTTTCCTACGACGCGCCATTCTCTAAAGTTTTCCCTTGACTCGCGTCGCCCGAACGTCTCACCATCTTCCTCGAAGGGATTTCCACTGGAATTTCGTAGCTGGCAGGTTATACAGTGCGATTCCGCGAAACCCACGACTCACCGTTGCACGCAATCTGAATAACGACGGAGACATGCGCGACTGCGCTCCACTTCAGGCAACGCTCCCGAAATTACTTTCGGTTTTCATTGTGATACGGTCGAAAGCAACAAAATTTTTATAACGATGAACGATTGTACCGATAACATCGACGTGCTGCGAGAGCAACTCGCGACCGCAGTGAGTTAACGAACATTTTAACCCTTTGCACTCGAGAGGTGACTCTCAGTCACCACTTAATTTGATTTGCAAAATTATAAAGTCTTATATATAATATTAAGCTTCGTATGACACATCAATATATGAAATATTGAAATAAAAGAACTTTCCTTCTTAATTTATATATGTTTTCTCATTAATTAGTTCCAAAGGATATCGTCTGTATCTCATCGGAGAATACTGAATATTTCTAGTGAAAAACTTTCGAGTGCAAAGGGTTAATAGTTCAGAAGCTTCCCTTGCTATTCGAGTCACTTTTCCAGGGGAAAAATTATGGTCCCACGTCTCAGAAGGTTAGAATCGGTTGCCTATCGGATACACAGATGCTCGTCGGCAAGAACCTCGCGGAGAACGAGGTGTTGCGAGTTTGTCAAGCGTTGTTGTTCTCCACGTGCGTGTTGTTGTTGAGTTACCACAGCGTCGTCCACGGCACGAGCGAGTTTAGCGTCTTGGAAAACGGTCGGATCGTTCTAGGATACAAGCATAGAGCTGTGGTCACTTTCAACGTTGGTTACTCCGCGCCGTATTCTTCGATTTCGTTCGTGGCGATCGGTATGCTCGCCTATTCCCTCGTTTCGGTGAGGAACGATTTTAATTGCGAGATTTTTAGTTGCAAAACGCGTCTTCTGCGATGGAGTATTTCATCGAGGTTCTCGATCATCGGACGAATCGATGAATAATTCATTTTTTAAGTGGATTACTGACTATGTCACTCGATGGAGAAATTCGATGAAATATTCAATTATGGAAGAGGATTTTGTAATTAACCGTTTGAGTGCCAAGGCCTGTCGCTTCGTAGAATCAAATTAAGTTTGTTTATTCGTTCTCCTTCTAGTTATTTATTTTTAGTTTTCTTGTTACCTGCTTAGAAACGGATTTAGAATTTTTTCGTGTAGAAACGGAGAGGCGTGATTCGGTTTCTGCGCGACTTGGCACTTCTCGACCGTGTTTTCGCAAAGACCCGTGCCACTGAAACGGTTAAGATTGTTAATCATCGTAGAGAAGACCTCGCTGGAGCCTTCCATCGATTGCTTTCCACTTGTCGAACTTGGTATGCGACATTAGCGCCGCAATGGTAGCCATTTGGCTGTTCCTCTCTAATTTATCGTTGCCAACTGCTGCATTTTACTCGACGGCATCCGCGGCACTGATACGTACGTTCCGAATCTTCGATTTATCGATAACCTCGGAACCCGTAGACTCAACTTTCGAATTTCACAATTTAGTCGCGGATCTTTGGATGTGGCTGGGTGTCCTCAAGCTTTACGAGCAGAGAACGTTCAAATGAAGGAGCACACGGGAGGCTCAAGGAGAATATACAACCAAACGTATCGTAGAAATGTTAAACAACCTTTATATCGTATTTTCTAATGTACATATACAGAGGTTTTAATAAAACGAGTCGTCAGCTTATGAAATTGTTCGAGTCTGTCTCATCTTGCGTTAGAATGCTCGAGTAAACCGTCGGACAGTCCAAAAAATTAGACGAGCATTGCGAGTTTGCGTCTAGAATTCGAATTTCCGGGCAGTAATACAATCTGAAACGAAATATTTATTTAATCCTTTGATTTAATTATTTCAAGTTCAACCCTTTGCCTTGTGACTTCCTTTGCTTGGATCGCTCGAACGATTTTATCGTTAATAATGTACTAGAAAAATAATACACGATATTTTCTAAAACCAACTTCACGAAAACTTGCATATAAATTGAGGAACAAAACGATTTTATTTTAATACTTCATATATTAACCTTTTGCACTCGGAAGATTTTCACTAGAAATATTCGACATTTTCCAATGAAACATAGACGACACTATCTGAAACGAATTAATGAGAAAACATACGTAAATGAAGAAACAAAGCTATTTTATACAAATGTTTCACATATCGATCCATTATATGAAACTTAATATTATATATAACACTTTGTAATTTTGTTATATCGAATCAAGTGGTGACTGAGAGTCACTCGAGTGCAAAGAGTTAATGCGTTATAGAAAGTTTAACATTAAATATCAAACTTTACAATGTTACTGTGACGCTTTTGGAGTGCAAAGGGTTAAACTCCATTGATATTGCAAGGCGAAGGGTTCAACGGTCAACGGTTTCTCCGTTTCACCTCGAGCAGTATTTCCGTATGGCCTCCCTCAGAGTGTAGTTCCCATGGAAGTCGCTTCTCGATATTTCCTGCACGAGAAATCCCATGAACGCCTGACACGGCACACCCGTCGCTTGAATATCGTTCTCCGGCTCGATCGTCGCGAGCTTATCCGGCAGGCAACGATCCTCGTTCCGGCTGAAAAGCGCACGTTTACACAAGATTCCCGCCCGCCCGCGTTTCCTTAACGATATAGCTTTCGCTTCCGAGTCTACCGCACAGCACTCACTTGCAAAGGAACCGTTTCACGGTGTCCAAAGCGCAGTACATGCTCGGTTTCAGCGCGATTCCCGGTACACTCCAGAGCAGCTGCGCCTTCGCAGCCATTTCCAGGATGTCGTCCTTCAAACCCCTCGCGATTCGCGATAACTTTGAACTGGAATCGATCGATTTTGCTCTCAGTGAAACGACCCCCTCCGTCTGATCGACTCTGCATAGAATGCCTCCTCCATTTTAACCCTTCGCGGACAAAGAGTCCTTGAAATATGCAAAATCTTCGACAGACGAAGCTAAATTATGTATTAATTGCTTAGAGAACATAGAAAACAGAAACTACGTGCTGATCTCTTGCTGTTGGAGTAATTGAATTATTTATCTGCGACTTAGTCTTTGACCGATGAACATTTTGTTTCGCCGAAATGTCGACATTCGTCCGCAAAGGGTTAATCTCCTTGATACTAGACTAATCGCTTGTTCTACGATTTGTTTGTAACTATGATCGATTCAACTACTTTGTCGTTAATCATTTATTAAGTAAATGAAAGGAATTGTAGAGATATCTCGTATCAACCTTGCTCTGAAGTATAGTAATTGATAACAGAAAATAGTGAATTTGAATTCACAGGAATCGAGTAATATGCTAATGAATTCGAATGACTGGCTCACCTTCTGAAGAATTTTTCTACCGACAAGTCGATATTTTTGATATTATCATTCTTGATCGTCAGTCGTTCCCTGAGTCGATCTTCTGGATTCCCCTTCGAAGAATAGCGGTTATCTACGAGAAATCCGTTTGTTTTCGATTCCGAATGTAATTTATTCCCCTTTGCATCGTTTGGACGTGCCTCAACAGGTTCCTCTCTCAGCAAGGCTATCAAATAAACCTACGCAATTCGATCTATTACAATCATCGTATAAATCCGATAAATTCTAATGTCCGGATAGTTACGTTCAAATCGGGATTCCTGCGGGCTGCTGTTTCAATGTAACAGAATTCCCTGGTGGACCAATTCCGGTTTTCCAGTTTGAAGAAATAAACGTTCGAGGATGCGTTAGTCTCGATGATTCGATCGTCCTCCACTCTGAAATATCAATCGCGATGACGCTCGCTAATTCCACGAAATGTACGCACAATCGTTGCCAAAGCTGATGACGAACAACTCTCGACGATTCGTGTACGAATACGAATTCCGCGAATGAAAAAACAATCGAACGTTTACGATAATCCTCCATACTAAATTCAATCACGAAAAACCGTTAAGAAGATATATTCATTATTTTCCTCGTTACCACACACTTTCCCTTCTGTCGTTGATGATCCCACCGAATTGCCCGTGCAACGAAGATAAATCGTTATTATTGTAGAATCATTCACAGCGCGATACCTGTGACTGATATGACGAGTGCCACTACCGCTGCTGCCTTATTTCCATACACTTTTGATCTTTCGACCGTGTTGTTGATGTTACGACCGGTGAACGAACTCTCGAGCGTAGTCCGGCGTGTTATCGCGTTATATCGAGTCATACCGACACCTGTTACCGACGACGGTGGGCAGGCAAACGATCACCGTGACGAACACCAACAGAACCAGGCTCCCAATAACTAGGCAGACAGCCAGAAACGCGTAGAACAGGTCCGTCGGCCATTTCCTCAACTGGTTCGCTACTCCTCTTATAATCGGCGCCTCGAAATTCTCCGGTAATCCGTGATGCTTCGGATAGAGGAGCGACGTGTCCTCGCCGAAGGGATCTAGTTTTAAAATGTCGAGTTCAAAGGTTGAACGCCGGTCAAAGGTTCCCCGACGATCGCGCGCGTCGCACGCAGCATACAAGACAGATAGTTAATTTGTTATTGTTACAGTTATTTATAGTAGAATATCGTAACGTGGAAATGTTTGGAACGACACCGGATAAAAAAGAACGATAGTCTTTAAACGATTAGCCGGCTGAAACTGTTCTGTTATTCCGAGCGTGTTTCACTTTTAGGTTACTCTATATTCAAGCTTTGTTTTGGTAATCGAAACTTCGATAGAATCTAATCAGCTCGCTGCGGCTGACTTGCACGGATAAAGATCTTTACGATCGTCGGCCGATCTGCTCGAAGGTATTTAAAATTGACGTGATTTGTTTCTTTTTTGGTCGATGACTTACCGTTCTTGCTCGGCATAATCTGTTCGATACTTTCGCACTGCTAATAACGTCTTCTCGGCCGTTTATGCAGTTAGTATCGTCCGCCAAGTCAGCATTTCGCAATAATTGGCAGGTATTTAAATTGAGTCACGATGATTCGCCGAGCTCCGCCGGAGGTGGGCCGGGAGCACTGCGCTCGGCGTAGCGCTCGAAGTGGAGCATCGAAAAACATGCGGTCGCACGCGAAACAGGAAACAGGTTATCGCGCCTTCAGCGATTGTTTTCCCGCGATTCGCTGCTAACCTTGTTTGACAACGATTCAGGCTAGCTACCGAAGCTGGAATATTCTTAATAAATGAGTACACCGACGAAATTCAAACGTTTTCAATCGTTTCGAGATCGAATTGTTCGCTGTACGCTTCGAAAAATGAAACGAATGCGGATTCTCGTTTTCCATTGGTTTCATTTAGCATGACGACTATAATTGACGAATAGAATCGAAGTTAGGAACGAGAGGATTAACCCTTTGCGGACGAAGATTCTTTGAAATATACGAAACCTTCAGCAGATGAAGTTAAATTACATATCGATTGCTTAAATAATGGAAAGAAAAGAAATTATACACTGATTTCTCGCTGTTTGAGTAATTGAATCGTTTGTTTGCGAGTTACTCTTTCAAATTTGGAAATTTGATCTCGCCGAAATGTCGACACTCGTTCGCAAAGGGTTAAGAAGATGGGGTTTCACAGAATACGCAGAGCACACAGATGATGATTAATAAGTTCGAAGTGTCTTTATTACAAATAACATTTTCACAATTTACGCTAGAAGTCACGATGGCAGGTATCCATGACTCCGAAATGACGCGGAGAGTCATCGTTCATTTTTTACCGAGGTTTCTCAGCGTGCTCCGTCTAAACCGATCTCAGACTGATTGTGCTTGACGCTCCGGCTGCGGATCGAATCGGCTCGCAGAGAAGGGAATTCGAAGTGACTTTTCGTTCCCGTCGAGCTACTCGATTACATTACATCTGGAAGCAATAAATATGAGCGACGGCGATCCGTTCGAACGACAAAGTTCCTTTCCGATGAGACTGCGAACAGAGAAACGAGACGATGCGCGTCTTAAACTAGCGTTTCCCAAACATTTCCGTAATCCTGAAGAGTTAAATGACTATTCCAATGTGTTTATTCTGATATGTTTAGAAAACCGGTATTTTCTTTGACTGGGAAACATTGTCCTAAACGATTGGCCACCGAGGTGCTTCGAAACTTCCAGACTTCCTCAAATATTTGGAAACCTTTTGCGCGAACGTACTTTCCGATTGTCGCATCGGAAAAGGACACGTCGGCGGCCTCGGTCGCGGTGTCAAGCTCAATTCCCTAGGCGATTGTGCGCTCTAAATTACAAAAAATATAGTTTTCATTCCCGACGCGTCGCTAAAATACTTTTTTCACCTCTACGCGGCTGTTCGTCGCTAAAACTAGGCGGACAACGGTTTCGAGTCGTCGCGTTCGGTTTTTCACGGAAAAATACTCGCGAATCGTTTCTCGAAGAACGACGGAGGGTTAACGATGTGCGGGGCGGAAAGAAAAGCGTCTTGTCGCGCTGGAAGCTACGTCTGAGAACACTTCTAACCAAGAAGCCTCCGGGAATCTAAACCGCTAAAGGGGCAAAAGAGGATCATCGCGTGCACAGCGTGTGTCCGCCGCCTAAATAACGCGTGGAAGCTTCGCGCGAACCGACCCGCGGTTTTCAAACGATCTAGCGGAATAAGAAAATTCGCGTACACGAAACTCGAAGCGGCTCGAGGAAACTACTTTGTGCGGCTTAACCCTTTGCACTCGAGGGGCGATTCACCGTTCAGTTTGATATAGCAAAATTATTAAAAACATTCTATAACGAATTATATTATATATCTAACTGGACATGAAACATTGAAATGAAACAATATCATTCATTAATTTTTATTATGTATCTGTTTAGTAGAGGAAAGTTTCGAATGCAAAGGTTTAAATCACGCGAGAACTAGATATACCATTCAGCTAGCTTGTGCGTGCGACCGTTCAACCCTCGGCTGCTTTCAGTCTTTTCTGCGTGAACCCTGGGGAAGGTTAAGTAATCTTATCCTCGTCTCTAATCGTTCCTTTTGAAGAATATCTTTACCGAAATATCAAAAATTCATCGATGTCCGTATCTAAGCAAAAAAAACCAAGTTTCTAACTCAGCCTTCTTCAGCCTCGAGCAAAGATTTGATCGGCTGATTCAGACATCAACGTTAATTCACTAAAAGTTATTGAGAATAGCCTCTGTTTCGATCCTAAAAACGATATCTCCGGAGAGCGCGGCGAAACGCAGCGCGTCGACCGCGCTCGTTTCGGAGCACGCCACCGTTACCCGATTACCTAATCAGCTCTAATGCGAGCAGCCGAGGGTTAACTAACGACCAATTACGGATACCTTGTTTCGGAAGTGAGCGCTAGTCCGACTGTATGTATGTACAACACGATTGCACTGGCACTTGGAACCGACACGTTCGGAGAAAGGCACTCTCGCATCGTTCACCAGCGAACCGTTCTCTTCTAGGGAAGTCCTCGAACAGTTCGTCACACGCTCGTGTACGAGACCGGCTGTTTAGCGACGCTCTTCTCCCCGCACTTCTGGGGAGCACTCGGCGGATGATTCCTAGTGGATTCCTCGCTGTCCAGCGAGCTGTGGTCGCTGCTCGGCCTGGACAGCGCCTCGTTCACGTCCTGCAGCTGCGCGTTCTCGTAGCTCCTCCTGTTCCTGGTGATCGGGGTCTCGTGAGGAAGCCGGAGATCCCGTCTGACGTACTCCGGGCTGGAGTTCCACTGGGCACCCTCGTAGAACCCTGATTCAGGCGACAGATCCGACGTCGGCGAGATTGGCAACACTGGCACAGCCAATTGACGACACTTCGGAGAAGAGTACTCATTGGGAGACAGATTAGGATCGGACAGAGACGTCCTGTTGCCTTCGGTGATCTCTTGCAGACGAGGACAATGTTTAGAGGATTTCTCCATTTCGATGGTCAGTCTGTCTTCGTTCGAGTTCGCTCTTGCTCTCAGTTCAGTCTCCGTTGATCCTTTCACGCAGATGTTCCTTCTCATTGAGTTCAGACGCTCTTTGCTACCCGTGTGTCGCCTGGCAGTTGTTAGGCTCTCCCTGTTACCGAATTCCAGAGGCTTGCTGTCCAAAGGAACCAACAGGTACCTTCTGGATCCGTTTAAGCTCCTTCTGGACCCATCGAGAGACCTTCTGTCTTCGTCAAAGCCTCGCTGGATGTTTCTGTGATAATGACTTCTCTTGCAACAGGTCGAGATCCTCTTCTCTTCGTCCGCGGGCCTGAGCATGTTCCTCTTGGCTGGTTTCAGCAATGGACTACCTTCTCTAGAAGTCTCTGGCTCCTCGTAAATGATCTCCCGACTGTTCTTCAGGATTTCCCTGTTCACTGCCTCGGGTAGATGTTGCATCTCGATCTCACCCATCACCTGGATGCCGTCGGGATCTAGGTCTAGAATCCTGTAGTGGCCGTGGTCCCGTGTAGGGACAGGAGGTCCTTGATAACTGGTGTCTCTGTAAGCGTTTCGAATGTGGGACACATCGTCCACGCTGGCGTCGCTCCTCATGCTGTCCACGTGCGACAGTGGATGACTTTGGTGATGATGCGGCAAGATCAGCTGAGGACGATGACCGCAGTGGCACTGGCCGTCCGCGCAGGTCTCCCCTAGGAAATCCTCGTCGACTATCACACCTGGAAAGTAGCCTACAGCTTAGCGGACGATACTTAACTAGTGGACGATACGCACGCTTTGGTCCCGACTTAGAGAGCTGTCGCGTTGCATCGTTTCCCCATCCGTTCCTTGCGCTTCCAGTTAATTACTTATGAAATTGACGCGACGCTAGATACAACTAAGATTCTTCCATCGAGAATAGAACGGATTTGCTAAATATCCAGGCAAGAGATTGGCAAGTCGATAGAACGGATGAGGATCAACGAGTACCACTTTCGAAATTCCCAGCGTCCCCCGCAACCCGATCAGTTTCAATTAGTCCCTCGAATGTTAATCCAGGAGGAATGCATGCCAGTCTCGGACCCTGATCTCGCTAGTCTCAAACCAACCAAAAACCCAGACGAGGTACGCTTCGGGCAACTCGTTAAACGCTTGGAATCGATGTTCGCGCGTCGTGTCGCGGAACTATCCTCAGCAAGGCCGCGCGAGTTGAATCAGGGACAACACGAGAGACAGACAGAAGCGTGGCACAGGTGGACACCGAACTCTTCCCGCGGTCGTCTTTGTTCCGTTCCTCGGAGGCCTCGTATTTCAGATGTTGAAGTTTCTGTTTCGAGATTCCTCGGTCCTCCGTTTATCAGATCTCACTGTTCCCTCCCTTTCTCCTCTGACCTCCGCCTCGAAGCAGGTCGCTCAAACCCCAGGGCAGTCGTCGATCGACGGGATGTCGATGTGCAGCTTCGATGATCCCTGCGAGGACTGTCCCTGCGGGATCGCGAACTCCGTCGCGTCGGGCTGGTTTACTGCGCTCAGCACGATCGGCACGGATTTCGGCTCGCTGGGGACTTTGCGCAGCCCTCCATCTGCGGGTACACATCCAGCACCAACGGTCAGACAAGAAACGGACCCAGAAGCTGCGGAATACTCGGCCAGAAGAAACGGAAAAGCGAAGCGCATAGAACGGAAGCAAGCGTGCACGAGGCTGAGCGTTGTTGCTATCGATTAGTTTGATTCGCGCGTGCATATCCCAATTAGCGCGCTCCTCTCGCCGGCCTTGCTGTATCGTTAGTGGTCGTTTGGTAACGTGTTAGATTGCTCGATGCCATGCCGACGGACATTTTTAATTGCCATGCTAGCGGTACTGCGACGCTGAAATTTTCTATCGTGCGGGGTATCGACTAATTCTGAACACGATCACTAGCAAACTCATATATAGGTGATGTCACGAGGAATATTTCCATTGATGCACTACGTAACTCAGAGACAATTCCACTGGAACTAGAATAAATCTAGAACCGAACTACTTCGGGGATTGGACAACGATCAATCGTTGACCGACGCATCTTCTAATTCTGCTCGATGCTAGACCATTCACTATCTTAAGAAACAACTCACCGTTCCCATGACGAAGCTCCTCCTGCGCCTTGTAAAACTCAACGAGCTCCCTGCCGGAACACAGCGGCGTGTCCACCTGCGTGGTGCTGTTGAACAACGAATAGTCCACCTCGTAGCCCTGTCTATCCTTCGAGTAGGTGACCATCGGCTCGAACCGGTGTCCCCAGAGTATCTCTTGCGGCAGGTAGCTGGACCTAGCCTGAGTGGTCTGTCCGGTAGACTCGATAGTCCCCTCGAGAATAGCCACTACCTCGAACCTTTCGGTCAGCATGTCCTCGGCGGTCATGTTGTAGAACGGGGACTCCGCGTTGATCTTGTGGACGATCGTGGTGGGCCAGATGAAGAACAGGTTGCCGTTCTGGCCGTCGGTGCCCACGGCTAGCTCCTGCTGGTTCTGGGACAGCACCTCGCCCTCTTTGGTCGTCCTGGAACGAATCAGCTGCGCTCGGACCGCCGCCCCGATGATGTGACTCTTCCTCATGTCGCCGACCCGGAACATGAAGCACAACTCGCCGTCCCTCTGGCAAATCACCGCGTTCCTGGAGAACAGTAACGTCTGGGTCCTCTGTTTCGGCCTGCTCATCTTCGCGAACACTATGCCGACCATGAAGGCTTGTATCATCACGCCGGCGATGCTCTGCACGCACATGACGAAGATCGCCTCGGGACACTCCTCGGTCGTCGAACGACTGCCGTAGCCGATCGTGTGCTGCGTCTCGATGCTGAACAGGATGCAGCTGGTGAACGAGAAGATGTTGTAGATGCACGGGGTCCAGTTGTTCTCGATCTGGAACGGCGGCAAATGGCGCTCGTCGAAGTCACCGTGCGTGAACGCGATCAGCCACCAGATCACCGCGAACCCTAGCCAGGACAAGACGAAGCTCAGGCTGAAGCACAGCAGCGTCCATCGCCATTGCGTGTCCACCAGGGTCGTGAAGATGTCCTGAAGGAAGCGGAGCGATCGCCGGGAGATGCGGGACTGGAGCACGTTGCAGTCGCCGTTCTTTAGCACGGCTCGCCGACGCAGCTTGCGGGTCGGACCTGCCCTGTACCGGCTCCTGAAAAGTTTCGGGAGGATTCTTCAGTGACGCGTGTTACGGATGTCTTTAGTTCGAAGAGAAATACGAAACTTTGAAAAGATTATTTAACCTCTTGCCGTACAATGACGAGTGAGACTCGCGATGAAGATTTCTAAACTAATTTAACAAGAATCAATGTTGCTCATTACCCACGGATCAAAGCAAACTATTTTGCTATTATCAATGTATTATCTTCAAATGAAATTTCCACTTGAAATAGAATGGAAAATTTTGTTGTGTTTCTTACAAATTGTCGATAGTAAAATATTACACGAGCTTAGCAACGAAAGTAAATAGTACGCCAAGGGGTTAATGAAAAACTGTTGTTATTAAGAGTGGCGATAGTTCGAAGACTCGCCTTGCATCGAAAGATTATATATTTTATGAGAAAGTATTTGAATTTGTGTACGATTGAGTATGAGAATATTAAGTATTACATGAAATGTTGCAACAATGCGTTATCCAACTCTCGCAGACGTCTGTTCTCGGAGACCATGAATACAAACCCCGGCGAAGCTCATTAGATCGTCGGATTCGGTTACACCGCGATCATCGTTAATTCGCGCGGCGACCAACGCCAATTACGTTTTCCACGCTTATCTCAGACGCTGGGAACACGGGCCGATTTGCATGCGACCAACGCGGGATGAGAAGCGAAGCGTCAATTCCAGTTGCATCTTCAGAGTGACAGCACAATGAGCGATGCAACGATTCTTGCACAATTCGAGGGAATAAATTATGTTCGCCGGGCAGTGTTGTCGCCAAGGTCCCCTTTAGAACTCAGTTCAACTGCGAGCTGATAATCTATTCTCCCAACCAGATCGCAGCGGATTAGAATAACAAATTTCGTGGATCTCGTTGTTCCTGCGCGACAAATCGATCCCGTGTCCTTTTCCATCGTCGGGGATCGCGCGGGGCGCGCGGTTCGATTAAAAATTCATCGACAAACAGCGGGACGACTGAATCAATCTCGGCGTTTCCCAGCGTGGACGCGGGGGAACCTGATCGATTAATCGTTCGAGGACGATTAATCGTGGCCGGCGCGGAAAGGACGCGCGCCGCGGTGGATCGTTCCGATCGAAATACTCACGATGGATCTCTGCGCATCGTAGTGTCCGCCCGAGGAGTGTTGTCGCATGTTCTTCGTGGTAAGAAGCCGGGGAGGCAAGGGGTCTCTTCCACACACGATGTTCGGGTCGCCTCAGTTTTCGACGCATAGTCATTATTGGCACGCGGCAATAACAAAGGACGGAAGCGAGACCGAACGCGGCGAATCACACGGTGAACTAACTCGATCTCGACCTGACCCAATTTCTCTTAATCGCGCGTTTATCGCGGATCGACTAGACTTCGACCGAGAATTTCGATAAGCCCGATTATTCGCCCGTCGTTGATGCGGTCGCCCGTAGTTCTCGCGCTCCACGGGACGACGAGTGACCCACGACGACGTCGAGAGGGCTCGATCAGCAGTTTTATCGGCACTGTTGCCATTCGCGGCTGCTGTCAACGTTGTTTGTTCGCTCGAGGAACGCGCAGACGAGACTGACGGCTCGGGGAGACTTTAATCGGTTCACTATCTAATAATAATTAACGAGAAGATAATTAATCCCCGTCTGGCGAAACAACACTGGACAATCGGAGGATTTTCACTGAACCGGGGAGATGAACGTAGTCGACACTCGTATCCACTTGTTAGATCGCGTTAGATCGTTGCGACCGGTTCGATGATCCGGCTGAGACTCTTCGAGCTCGCCTCCCTTTCGTACGGGCACAAAAAGGAAGTCGCCATTTTGACTTTGAATGATAACCGAGAGCAACCGTTATCTGCCAATTTATTTATTGCCACGCGCAAATCAACCGGCGACTCGTCGACTAGCAATGAACTCTCGCTCTTTCTTGTTGTCGATCGTTGCCTGTGTTCGATCTGTATCTCGATTTATTAACGAAACTAAGTACTGACCAGTCGAATTCAGTTTTTGGAATTGTTCTGTGGGAACTGTAACAGTGTTTTTGGGATTTCGATTGGTTTGTGATTCAGTTTTAGTATTACTAAATCGATTCGTTTAGTAATTTCACGGAGCATCTTGATAACTGGGAAAGAAGAATTTCAAATTGCTTGAAGATAGTTCGAATAAATCGGTATCGTATCAAAGTATTCAGTAGCCTAAGTATCTAAGTAAAATGAAAACCTAAATATAATATACAAAATATTCCAGTACGAGATTCATAGTTCACGCAAAGTTCTACGCGACTTCCGCGCTTCCAGATACCAGCACATTCGAGTTCCGCCGTTATCGTCATAGAATTGATAACGCTGAATCGTAACAAAGAAAAGTTCAGAACTCGTACCGACATAGAGCAGAAGGATGATCGGCAATTGGATCCGGTCGCAAGTCGATCAGAGGTGGCTAACCATAAACGACGGAACCAGATACGAAAGAATGACCAATTACGCTACGGCTACCGGGTACGCGAGCGATTGACTCGCGGTATTAATGAATAATGATTAATCCGTGTATTAATTCCGTGCGTTCTGCGCGGACGGTATTGCGCAGCGAGAATTCCCGCCGACGGGTAATCCGCGAATGATTTATATACCTGCTGCGAAAAGAGGAGGCAGTACTCTTCGGCAGCTCCAAGATTATGGGAGTGGTCGGCGTCACCGGTGTCAACAGATTTTCCTTCTCGTCCGGATTCGGTGAAAACGATTTCATCCTCAACAATGGACTCTTCGGAGCTTGTCCGTTCATTGTTGATCTCTCTTTAATCGGTAATCTTTAATTCCCTCGATTCCACTCCGAAGAGAAGCTTAATGAAACCGTTTCAATTCGCTTGAAGCGATTCCTGATACTTCTGTCTTCTTAATTAAACGACAGTTGTACAATGAAAGAACAACGGTACTTCACGAGTTTATCAGTAGAGATTTTTATATTCTTGAAACCACATTGCGTTTCCACCACGGACAGTTTCTAGATCCGAATGCTCGCAGCGCTACCCTCGATCTTTCCTTTATCGATACCCAGCATCGACGTTCGATCGACTTTTTCTATGACCGAGCAAACACGCGGATCGCAGATAACAGGCTCGTAAATTCGCGTGAGCGATTTCTCGATCCGCTAGACTCTCTCCGAACGAATCGCACAGATAAACCCGCGTTTCGCACGATTCTCAGGGGATCAAAATTCCCGCGGTATCTTCGGCCGGTTCGGCAACGATAAATTCCGCGTGAAGTGGGTCGTCTCCGGCGGGTAGTATCGTTCGAAGAAGTTCAGTAGCCAGCGTGGAACGTCGGTGTTTTCCTCGTCATTAATTATCACACTTCGCCGACCTTTCACTTATCGCGCCCGATCTCTCGCACGCTTATCGCACCGATCACGAGCCGAGCCGAACAGAATCGTACACATCATTTTTATCGATTATCTCTCTCCTTGATGATTCCGTTCAAGGATCCACCGATTATCATGCTCCGTCGACCCGGCGTCTGAATGGAACCCTACTATCGCTGGAACTTCGACCACTCGATCAATCCAACGTTTCTGAAATTTCCGATCTGGTCGTCGAATTAATTAAGACTCGTCGCGAACCCCCGGTGCCATTCTCAAGCGTCGCGTCTCGTCGACGATCTTACCGCGAGAATTCAAAAAATTCAATTAAATCCTTTGACTTCAATCCTTTTCTTACTCTCTTATACGATTCTCCGTTTCGAATTGGATTCTCGTGAAGCTGATTAAAGCTTCCTCTTTTCCGCTGTTTTTTCCGTTCGGTGTCAAAGTTGATAGTCGACGCGAGGACTAGTGGACGATTCTGCTGTCGACTTTGCTAGTGATGGATCTACTGGTGTCCGAGGAACGAGGCAGGTCGTCTTATACGCGCGAGCCAATACCTGGCCAGCGGTCTCCACTTATCAGTTACTAACAATAACGTTTACTCTTCCCATTTGCGAGAAAATGGGCTGGTTGCGTCACGCTGGACACTCGCGGGGGTACGCTGCGCCCCGACGTTGCTTCCGTGGGATCACCTCTTCCTTCCTCGATCGGAAATCTCGTTTAGATCATCGCTTGATATTCTGTTATTCAAATTTCATCGTTTCACACGTTAGTTTTACTCTTATATTACTTTATCTGTCTTCATTCGTTAATAGCTCGATCGAATGCATGTTTCTTCGTGTTTCAATTGAAACTCGTCACTTTGTTAGCGTTTTCAATGATCCAATAACTTCTAAATAAATCTTGATATAATAGAAATATCAAAGGACTGTTGAGATAATTACTATCACAGATCACGAATCCAATGTCCCCAGATGATCTTCAACATCTCACGTCTGCCTCGATCATCAGTGACGCTTGACTAGCCATTCGTCGAGGAACGTCCGCGAGAAACTACGAAGAATTACGTCGCATGCAAATCTAACCCGCGTTTGAAGATTCTCATTTATTTCTCCGGTTTCCTCAACCGATGATGCGTCCATGATCAATTGTTGTCCGAACGCTTCGCCTCGCGCATCGTTCTCACCGTGAAATCGGCTGTCCTCGTCTCGTTGTGTTCTTCCCTGCTCTCCGGAGACGTCCTCGTTGTTTATCAACGGTTTCACGTGGTCTTGACACGAGTCTAATCTTTATTGCACAGATCTGCAGTGATCCAATGATAACGACTCGACGGCTGCGTGCTCTCTTTGCTCGACGATTGAACCCATTGTACGTCCTATCTTTCCCATACTTTTGAATTCTTCGAGCGCCTCGTCGAAACGGCGATTCTCACTTTCGGAATCAATCCACGTCAAGATTATCGTTCGAAGGTCGTTCCCAGCGGTGTCGAAAGAAAATCCGATTCGAGTTTCATCTTGAGTTGGCACGTTCCTTCCAACCGTATCACGGAAGATCAATATTTGCTGATATCCGGTGTCCGGTTCGCAGGTCTACGATCTCTTGCTGATATCCAGCCCGCGAAGCACCGTGGGATACACTCGAATTTCGATATTCACCGTTAATAACGATCGAGAGCGTCGACGCTGATCGGTCGCGAGTGACTGGGAATTTTTCGAGAAAAGTCGCCGGCAAATTGCAACAGAGAATCTAGTCCGCGACGCGTTAAGACGTCAGCCGCGATGTAGCGACTACGTTTGACTGACTGAAAGCTGGGGGCATGTCTTATCAAGCGCGAGGCATCTCCTTATCGGCATCGCGTTCCGTGAAATCGCTGGTCATCCGTGAATATGCACGCATCTACGGTAGCTAATGGGAAAGCGATCTTAAAATCAAGCCTCGTTATTGAAGTTAACGGAAGACTCGGGACTTTATCAGCTGAACTTGTTACGCGAAGAAAGAGTAAACGCTGTTTCAATATTCCTTCGATGCATTGTACGAAGCAGAATATTATATGGAAGACTATAATTTTGATATATCAGATCAGTGACTGAGAGTCACCTTTCGAGCGCAGTATTTAACCCTTAGCACTCCAGGTTGTTTTGTAATCTATCAGCAACTGTAACTAATTTTTACTATTCCTAGCGAAAATGAGAAATATAACATTTCTTCGATCTTTTATTTTCCTTGTTAGTACAAAATTTGGATGTGAAAATCGAATAATTTTAAGGTAGTTTCTTTAAGATTCATTAAAATATTTAATATTAGAACTCATGCAATATTGGAGCCTACAGAGTTCAAAGGGTTAAACAACAGAAGATCTACTTTCCGAATAATGAAGTGTTTCATTCATAATCTAGCTTGCTTTGGAAAATGTTTTTACCTTTTACTCTCATATGATCTGACAATTATGAAATTTGATAGTCAGTATTGTGTTTCATTTGATAATTAGTGATACGTATAGCGGAAAATTGTCGAGTTGCACGAGTTAAAACGCGGTTAGACTGAGAATCATTCTTCAATGAATCGATCAACGAGACTAATCGTCCAACGAAACAGATTATCCAATGAAATTGAATGGACATCGAGCGAGATCAGTATTCGAGCGTACGATCCCACGATCTCGGCCCTTTCGCGTCGCGCTGACAGCCACTATACCCCGTGAACGACATTTTCGCGCGTGATTCACCCTCCCGCCGCCTAACTCGATCCATTGTCAACGAATTGGAGCTTCCTTGGAAAGAAATTCGAGCCGGAAGGGCTCGATCAACACCGGTGGAACGGTGAATCGCATTAGCCGCCGGTAATTTATTCCGCGCGCACTATAATGGCGCTATTCCATAGTGGACGAGGTATCGTGTGCGTCGTTTGTAGGCGTCAATTGAGAACGGTGCTAATTCTACAGAACGGGAGCTCGAAAACTTGGTCTCCGTGCTCGGACGGCCGGTCACGAAATTATCTTCGTCGAACCGTCACGAACCGTTACTCCGGATTATCAGCGTCGGCTTTCTCCTTAAATAATAACTTCGAAGTACTTCTTTTTCCAACGATAACTCCCAAACAGTAAGATTTGTCTTGTTTAATACAATGATTGAAACAAATGCAGTGTGCACTGGAGATTACCGAAGTCAAGCTTCCGAAAAATTTACGAATGACGATGGAAATATTCCTTCTTTCTCTAAATGGTAATCAGAACAATGAAACGTTCTTAGTGACTAAAAGATCAAATGTATATATAATGTTCATTAAAATGGACGTATGAAACAATCACTAAAGAAAATAACGCTAGAAGCTTCTAATGTTTCTATAGTAGCTTCAGAACAATAACGATCTTCTCAGTGATTAACACTAGAACTACCGAGCATTTGATACGATTGAAATCGCTATGAATATTGTAGTAATAGATACAGTAATAGATTATTTAGAAAATGTTAATGCTAGAAGCTTTTAATGTTTCTACAGTAGCTTCAGAACAATAACGATCTTCTCAATGATTAACACTAGAACTACCGAGCATTTGATACGATTGAAATCGCTATGAATATTGTAGTAATAGATTATTTCCGATTTCTTCAGACATACATTATAGTATTCAAGTGAAACTATTTTCAAAATCATTTCGAATATTCAATGCTTCGAAGATATCAATAATTGCGAAACAGAAAAACTGAAACCAGCCATTTCGACTGGCACGGTAGTTCTACTGATTAAACGAAGAGCTAACGTTCATTACACTATTTCGTACAGTGAAACTCTCGAAAGAATCACGAGCAGAGACGCCAGCACTAAAAATATTCATCGCGATTACTGCGTCTTAGCTCCGATTAACTGGAAATTAACTCTAAACGAAGGCAACGCCTCTTTCATAGATAACCCGAACGTTCCCTTTCGCATACTCGCGTGTAATTGATTCAAGCGGGATGTTATCGCGTTTTATAAGAATGTTGTGTGTATTCTACCTCTTTGAACAACACCAACCAGTTGTTTCGTTTCTCGCGACGTCGGCCAGCGTTGGCTCTCGGCCGGGACGCGACGAATCTTGCCCTCCTGCCGGAAGCAGCGCTCGGCCTCCCTCGATCGGACATGTCACCTCCGAATTTCGCGTTTCTCCGACGGCGGATTAAGAGTCGCGCGTTAATATCATCGGGTGCAAGCTCACTGGCGGGCCGAGCAGCGGCGCGCCGCGTCCCAGCGCGACCGAGCCCGCTTCGATAACGAGCTTTTAATTAAACTAACGAGATCGGACGAGCTGCGAGGCTGAAGCGCACGAAGATTTTTCGCGAGCTCGCCGACGTAACGTCGGTTACTCCGTTTTTCTGACGTTCGCCGATTTCCATTTTCCACGAGCGGCGTCGCTCGGTTTGCAAATTGTGCGTTGGAATTAATTCTGCTTCGATCGACCCGCTTTTCTACGTTTTACATTCGAAGGAGATTCTTTCGGAATTAAATCTTTGTTCACCTCTGAACGTTTGGAATTTGAGGAATTTGAATCTTTAAGAGATTGAATCTTTTGGAATGAAATCTGCGATCGATCGATCTTTGAATCTTTCGAATTTGAATATTTCCAATTAAAAGAGATTGAACGTCCCGGAGTGAAAGATTCTTTGATCGATCCTCGATCAATGTGTCACTCGGAACGTTGATATCTCCGAGACTTTCGTTTCGTTTAAAATATCTAATGTTATTAATTCGTATTTAGTGTTACAAATATTTTGTATTTTCGAGTTTATTTATTCGAGGAATTCCGTTTTGTTCGCACGCGAAGGCGTTAAAACGATTAGAACGTTGGTTCAATAGAGAGGAAGTTTCTCGAAGTATGCAACGAATTTGAATCATTCTGCTTTTAATTATATCTCGATCGTTAAATGACGCTGAGAAGAGGCGGGAGAATTAGTTGCAGCACAGGATGCCGAACTTCAATATTCATTAACGCTTCTGCGGTCGGCACGTAACCGCTTGCTTGTTCGCTATATCTGTTACACGTGTAATCCGCACAGATAAATACGACAGCTTATACGGGCAGTTGATAATTGGATTATTGTCGTATGTAGTCCGCTGTGTACCGTCCTTCGCTGCAGATGATACACGAGTACCATTGCCTCGTCTCTATCATCCGGGAAATTTATTCGAATTTAAACGCGAACGCTCGGCGCGACAGTGAATTTTACGATCCGCTCGCGGGATCCTCTAAATTCAAGTTCAACCTCGGACTTCCTGCCCCGCGGTCGATTAGCAGATAAAGCGGAAGGATCGGCGGGAGAATCGGACGGTATCGTCTTTCCTGCAGGAAACGTGGAATCTGATACACCGCGAGGATTCGTTGCGAGTTTCCGCGATTAATTCCGACCGCGATCCACAGATTAATCTGCCACCGGCGACCTTTTAGCTAGGAGAACCTCGACTGCCGAGCTGTATATCGTTACCACCCACTTTTCGCTCGGGAAACGATTGTTCCGGTCGCCTCTGGAATCTCAGCTTTTGCCAATTTAGTAGATACTAACGTAACAGATATCAAGAACCTCTTCCGTGGGAAATAACGTTGCAAAGAAGGAACTGATGCACTGATGTTTCTCCAGTCGAGAATTATTTATTTAGAAGTTGATTACATGAGAAATTCCAAAAGAATATTTTCCAAAGAATAGAATTTCAAATATCTACTAGAATCATCAATTTAAATAAATCTTCGTCAAGTACTCGGATCCGACAACTACTGATCTAAAGAGACCCAGACAAACGAATTATTATTTAAAACTTGCAATACTACCTTCTCATCGATATAAAGATATTCACACTCAAAGGATATGACCTACGAATCAATATCAAAGGTTGATTACTTGAAAAATTCCAAAAGAATATTTACCAAAGTGTAGTATGTCAAATACTACTAGAATCATCAACGGGAGGACATGCAATATGGATTCTCGTATAAATCTTCGTCAAGCACTCTGATGCGACAACAATTGATCTAAAGGGCCCCGAGCAAACGACGAAAAACGCGAATGGAATGACGATGGACCATACGGTCGCGCTCGAAACAGTCGGGCATCAATATTCTCCGCGAATTAAGGCGAAAACGTGGCGGATCGCCGAGCCTCCGCGAAGGACGGCGGCGGCGTCCGCTCATTTGCAAATTTTGCAACCGCGTCGGACGCGGTCCGCATGCGTAACGCCGCCGGCCGGTTGATAAACGACGACGCCGGGTTTGCCGAACGTGAATTGCCAGGTAAAGGGTAAACAGACCGTGGTGAGCACGCCGGGCAGAGTCTCGTTAGCCGGCCTCGCGAGGAAAACGTATTGCGTATCGCCGGGGACGTTTAATGAAACTTCGCCCGATAAATTGCACCTGTCTCGCTTATTAAACGCCACCGCTGTAAATATCGCGGATGAATGATAATTATGGACACGCCGACCGCGAGCCGCGCCAGTGGAATTGTTACGATCGACGAGGCGAACGCTCGCGGAGAGAAAGTCATGTTGCTCGCTGAATGTTTGTGGAAGATTACGAGCTTCGACGACGACGAAATTGATGGTTTACAACAGTTTTGTGTGTCTCATGCGTGCGGAAACTTTTGTTAACGCTTGCTGCGGCTCTCTGTTTGTCTAGAAATTCGAACTGTTAACACGTTGCGTACCGGATAATTTTCAGAAAACCGAATTGTGCGGATGGCGTACGATTTCATAGAGCAAAATACACGAAACGGAAGAAATATAATATTAAATCATTTGATTGAATTGCATTATTATTACTGCACGTTCGTCTAGCTGAATGTCACCGCATTAGGTAACATCACTTATAATATAGTAATGTTTTCAAATAATCGGCGTTTCATTAAATGGACTATAGTAATTCGGTTTGGTTGGAGGTCACCGGTGACCCCCATGGCATTCAAGAATGTTAAATGTTAAAGAATCTTGTCTACATCTAACTAGAAAGGATTGAATATTTCAAGCGAAAAACTTTCTAGTGCAAAGGATTAACCCGTTGCGTACCGGCTAATTTTCAGAAAACTGAATTGTTGATGGCAATTTTTAGTGAGGTTAACTTATATCGCTATGCATAGAAAAACTCAGATATATTGTTATGTAATATATTTCAAACTGCGAATTAGCGAAGTTGCGTAGCTAGGTGTCTTTATATAAAAACGAGATTTCTCGTTACCAGTACACAATGTATCAATTAACCCATTAAGTCCCATGAAACTTTTTTTTTAATTTTTAGGTAAAATTTTGTATTTCTTGAAAAAAAATGTGATATATTTAGTATACTATATATAGCATGATCTATAGATAGATCATTGGGAACATACGGTAACAACAATACAACAATTTAGAGTGAGTGATTTATTAGTAGATCACTGGGACTTAAACTTAAAAAATAAATTGTATTGTATTTTTAACTCATTATCAGGTAATTTCTGGTTACCGGTATGCAATATGTTAAAAAAGTAGCAATTAACAATTTCGGTCTATATTTTCTTGAATTGCGTAGTGTCGTTGATGAATTACGATACAACAGGAAACGCCTGTTTCAACGTCGTTCTCCGAGCGAATTGCAGAATACGTGTGGAAATTTTCGTAGTCAGAGACTCGGACAATTTGTCAATCGACCGAGGCGATCGATATTTTTTCCGGTATTCCCGTTCATCTATTTCGAGCGGTGCAAACAACATCTGGCGCCAGAGAGGACGTCGTCAACGAATCCCTCAAACAGAACGTAACCGCCTCACGGTCGAGAATGATCTACGAGGCGCACCGCCTTGGGAACGCGAGCCACGTGACGCTTAAACTGTTCGCGACTGTTTTGTTTGGTAATTGTCGAGCAATTATATCTGGTTTACCGGACTCGGTAACGCGTTGACTGGCCGCGATGCAAAGTGGACGTTTCCGGCCCGTTTGTGGCGATCGCCTTTTGGAATTCTGATTTAGGACATCGCTCGGGAACCGTCGAATCAGTCTCGTGACGATTGTCTTGCAAATTTAACGTTGATTCGAGAATTAACACTGAAACCACCTTCCGGTTAGAGTGATATATTCTTCAATTTACTATAAAAATTAGAATAGCTTCCTTGAGACTCGAAAGGTCTCCTAGCTTTATATCTATACACACAAATTTAATTAAAAATCCTTTGAAAAACGCCTTCGTAATTGAAATACTTGCATAATAATCCTCACGTGGGTCGATTTGACCCGTCCGGTAGTTTTAGTGTTAAGTAGTTAAGTAGTTAAGTAGTTAAGTCCATACAAAAGGCGAGAGGTTCCATGGAATTAGATTAGCGCATCAATTAAATGCTTTTACGTGAAAATTTAGTCATTCGTACAATCGTTGATAATTTATCATCGATCACCGGATTATCTTCTTCAGTCTCTTTCTCCGGAGATCAGAGTGGAGGAGTAGCTGCTTAGAATATTTGAGAAAAGTCAGAGACTTACCTGGTGGAATCTTGCCGACCAACGCCACCGATGCTGCTGCTCTGGGTGCTAACCCTGACGAGGGTGACGTTTCTGGGCAAACTGGACAATGTACCAAGGTTCCTCTGTCCGAGCAAGGGTGAGTCGGCTGCGATCGGGTTCTCCGGGACAGTGAGATGGCCTTGAGCATCGGTATGATCCTTCTCCTCTTCCTCCTCGATGGTGCCCGGCAGGCGGAACAACTTCTGCGGCTCCTCCATGCCTCCGCTCGGTCTCTTCACTTCACTCGCGAACGAATCTCCATTGGGAACGCGTCGGGCTGGTACTTGTTTGCTTCGATTCTTGGCTTTCAACTTTGTTTTCCCTTACTATGTTATCTTCAGCTTTGTTCTTTCCTATTCTCTATAACTTTTAACTTCGTTCTGTATCCTTCTCTTTCAACTTTGCTCTTCCTAGATTTCAAGTTTCTGCTGCTTAGCTTTCAACTTTGTTCTTCCTAGATTTTTAGTTTCTGCTCCGTAGCTTTCAACGTTGTCCTCTGTAGATTTCAACGTTGCCTCTCTAGCTTTCAACTTTGTTCTTCCCAACTTTCAACTCTGTCCTCCCTAGATTCCAACGTTGCCCTCTCTAACTTCCACCTTTTTTTCCCTAGATTTCAAAGTCGTCTTCTCTATCTTTCAACTTTGTTGTTCCCAGCTTCAACTTTGTCCTCTCTAGCCTTCAACTTTATTCTTCCCAGCTCTCAACTCGGTTCTCCACCTCCCAATATCGTTCTTACGTTCAACTTTCGTTCTATCAACTTCAACTCAAGTTCATCGCGTTCCCTTGTCCCTCCTTCACTTCTCTTCACGATTCTCCTTGAACTTCAATTCACGTTCATCGTGTTCCTTCTTCCGCTTGCTACCTCGTCGAACTCCTCGTTTATATCTTGTCTGGTTGAGTTCCTTTCCCCCAGGTCGCGAATCAAGAAGGATGTCCCGCGATCCACACCCGCCACGAGGATGCGCGAAGTTGGTGGACGTCGCCTGGCGACGATGACTCACGTCTGCTGGCCACCGAGAGCAAAGTTCTGTCTTCTGCCATCGTTTCTTCGTTTCCTCTCACTTTCCTCCGGCACTCGCACCGCCCTTCCGTTCCTGGAATCCCGGCATTCCTCTCGTACCCTGTGACCAGCAAACGATGTCGCTTTTTAATCGATAGTGTAGCGTAGCGCCGGCTATCGGTTAGGGTTTCGTGGAATTTCGTGGTCGGACTTTCGAAAGGAACTCGCGTCAACGGGTTCTTACGTCACGCAGGAAACGGGTGTGACGGACGGGGTCTTAGAGTCGCCTGTTTCCGGTTTCTCTCGAGAAATCTGGCTGGGTATCTGAAGAGAAAGACTTGGAATAATGATCGTGGTAGCTCTGATATATTACGAATGATTCCTGTTTCAATGGAACATAAACGCGTTTCGATGGTTTCTGATATAGGTATCGATAACTCTTCGTTCATACTGATCATTTCTGATATACATTTCTCTGATTAAACGCCACGAAAATCTACTGATTGAAAAGATCGTTAAAGGTATTCGAGAATCTGTTATCGGCTGATTGCCACTCGAACCGCGAGAGTTCAGCGAATAATTCCGTAAAAGCGTTCGATTGTTCCGTCGTCGTTTCTAAAAGAAATTCAAGACAGATGACTCACTGTTGCCACGTGATCGGTAATAATTGTATTATCGGTAGTGATTCGCGAAGGCCGCGATGTCGTCGTGGAACAAGCTCGGTTTGAAAATATTTACCTAGACGTCTTTCTCTTTCCTTTGAGGAGACTGGCATCGAGACAATGAGAAATCTTAACGAGTGTCTCGGGACTATGAGAAAACCGATTCGCCGAACGCGGACGGCGAGCGTACTCGGAAGAATGACGTCGCTCGAATTAGGATTTCGATGAGCATAATTATTTTGTAGATTCAAAGATTGCGGCGGCTCGTAAACACTGAATCATCGGCGGAATCGTCGCGTAACGTTCGTTACCGCGGCGAATATTTTCGTCGAGAAGCTTTTTATCGGGTTTTATTTCCATTTTCTTATCGAATCGTCTACCCTATTGATCGCGCCTGTATCGATTCAAACGGATAACGTTATCGCGAGAATAATATTCTAATTGCCGTTACGAAATTGTCCTCGCAGACACCTCGGCTGTTGAAACGTCAGAAACGCTAAATAAATATCTGTTATCTGTACCGGTGACATAAATTACGCTCTCCGCTTTTCGATTCGTCTTATTTCCCTCGTAAATATCATTTATCGCGTCACCGTCGCCTATCGCGCGTATCTTCACCAGCGGGACACCCGCCGCTTGTATTCCCGAAGCGGAGGATCGTCGATCAAAACGAGAAACCGTTGCTCGCGAGAAAAAGTGAAAGTGCGGCCCGTTATTCGAAGCACTGGCAACCAAACGTTCGTGTTCCTAAATGGTTCTGAACGAAAAGTTCATCTCTGTTATCAAATTTACCAGCAGAAACGATCGATTCTCTGAAAATGTCAACGTTCGGTTCGAATTAGAAGAAAAGTTTGAAATTCTGTCGACGAATCGGTAGAATTCTTTCCAGAATGGAACTTGTACCTTTTTCACGACAATAATTCGAAGATTTTTGTTTCTGAGGGCCTAAAAAGATTGAAGTATCGAGTAAAAATCGAGTAAAAATTGAGTATAGTCGAATCGACCGATTTTATTAAAGAATATCGGAAACTCGGTTGTGAATCGCGAGTGGAATGAAAAACGAAGGACAAAGTTGCACGAGAAGTGCAGATGCAAGTAGAATCGGATCCTCACTGATCAGACTGGTCTCGAGCGTTTTTCCCCACGTTTCCCTGAAGGAGGAGCGCACGTAAGCGCGTCGCACTCGCAACTGTTTCGGATTCGCGGCCGTTGCACGAGATTGTGCCAACGGATGCCATGGCGTTTACCTCTTATGGCGGGGATAATGCAGCCACACGGTGGCACATACGCGCGCGAACACGCGCCACCGCCCGGCACGTGTGCCACGCTGCGGGGACACGTCGCGTCGCTGTCATTTTATTCGGAAATTTCGCCGGATGCGGAATCAGCGATTCATGCGGCTTGATTAAAAGAAAAAAACAATTAGGAATGCAGCGACACTGATAACATATTAAAGAAAGTGCAAGTTAAACGAGACATTTCTCTTCGATCAACTTGTTCGGTGATTCGTTCTGAATTGTTTCTGTTTGAATCTCTGATTATATAGACTCGCCTAATTAGATTAAACGACCAATGATTTGATGTTAATATTATTTCTGAAGATGGGAGGACGACAATGAAATATAGAAATATTTCAGAATGAATATCATTCAAGTTTCTCTTAAAATTATCGCGTTCAGTGCTACAAGGATTTAGTTTTGCATAGTATTCTTTCATATCAAAGGGAGGTGACATTAATTATCAACGATTTTATATCACAGTACTTATATTACACTGTTATTGAGCTACGTATGTTACTAAATACTTTTATTCAACATCAATTTTTTTATTTTAATCGTTTTCAAGCGATGTTAACGTGTAATTTTTCATTTCAAATTTCAAATGTCTACGACAATTGTATTGTAAAATGTTAATAGATAGTTTTCGAAATGATTTTCAAAGCATCCATCGATAAGAAGGATAGATTATGATCAGCCTGTTCCAAGAAAAATGTTAAACCGTTTCGTATAGGAATGAACTTTTTTAAACGCGAGACAATCGTTCCGGCGATTCCTCGTCACGATCACGAGGAGTAGAAAGAAGCTTATCGATAAATATCTCGGATCCCGCCTCGGCGGACATAATTGCGCGTTTAATCGCATGCGTGATCGTTGCACGCCGCGATCCAGGGAGAGAAGAGGGACGTTTCCGGTAGGGAGAATGCAGAAACCTGCGCACGTGAGCGCAGCGTCGAGCTAGGCTGGCTCTTAACGTTCGAATTCGCATGCTGCGCTGCGGATGATCCGTATCCGTCGGCCGCGGTGCACGTTAATCGTGCTTCCCGCCGTTATGGAAATCCCTGTGATCCAACTTTGCATTTACAACTGTTCGTTAAGCACCGGGACAACCGTGATCGTCCGCGAGATCGAAAGTTACGGCCGATCGGTCGGATCGTTACGTAAAAAATGTGTGCACGACACTCGTCTCACGCGAGGATCGTGTAACAAAAGGATCTGTTTAGTTGAGATTTATCAGAGGTGGAAAACAGAGAGAGAAGTTTCAATTATTTCGTTTCGAACTCGTACAGAAATATAGATTTATAGATTAGAAATATAGAATATAGATTTATAAGCGATCTGGAAGATTTTTTTGTTAAGAAATAACTTGGAGATATTATTCGATTTTAAGAATTCCTTGTATTCTATGAAAGATAAGGAATAGAGAAAGAAGTTTGAATTATTTCGCTTCGAATTCGTAGAGAGACGAATATAGATATATCTAAAGCGATCTCGAAGATTTTGTTGTTGAGAAATAATTTAGAGGTTCCATCTGATTTTAGAAATTATTTGTATTTTATCCGAGACGGCGAATAGAGAAAGAAGTTTGAATTATTTCAGTTTGAGCTCGTAGAGAGAATATAGATTTATTTGAAGCGATCTCGAAGATTATGTTGTTAAGAAATAATTTAGAAGTTCCCTCGGATTTTACGAATTATTTGTACGGATATAAGAATCAATAAGATTCGATGAAATAAAGGTCACGCCGCGATTTCGAAATTAACCTTCGGAACCCCGAGTCCGTACACATCTGGAATTCGTTGATGACCGACGGCACAGCGTCGTAAAGACGATTTCGCAATTACCGTAACGCGCGCGGCAAAAGTGGTCGGCCCGTAACGTCGGTTTTCTCGTTAAAAAACTTCGCGATCATAATCTTTCGCCGCTTCTTCATTGAAAAACGCGGGAATTACTTCGCGATTCCCGGTATTTAATTCATCGCGACGCTGGTTTCCGCGTTTCGAAACGCGGAGCGATAAGCAGCCTTAAATGCCGTTCTCATTGCTAACAGACGTATCGACTTCAACCGCCGCTTTATTCCATCGCGATCAACTTCCTCGAGAATCGAACAGTTCGCCTGGACTCTTACGATCCTAACACTGCGATCATTGTTACCGGTTCATCTCGAAAACCTTCGGTAAGCTGCTTCGATCGATCCCTGTCCAAACGAATTTTCCCAATAGAAAACTGAATTCCAACGATCTTGACACCGCAATCATCGTTAGGAATTCATCTTGGATACTTTAAATTACTTTAACCTTTTGCACTCGGAAGTTTCTTACTAGAAATGTTTAACATTTTCTGACGAGCTGAAGACGATATTCCTTGAAACTAACTCGAAGGGAAATTACAAGTACATTGAACAAAGCTATTTTATTACAATATTTCATATATCAAGGCGTTATACAAAGTTCAACATTAACATATTAAGCACCATGTGTCACTGGTGACTGACGCTTCTGAGTGACTAAAAAACAGTCGTAACATACAAGACAACCGATGTGAAATAAAAATGTTTAATAACGCAACTAAGTTGACAATAGTGTAACGCAAACGTTGCAACGCCAAACAATTCATAATTGTTCCTGCTTTTCTTTGTTACAAAAGACAAACTCTATGGGAAAATGCTTAAGATTTTCGTGGCGCTTAACGTGTTAAATAGATTTTATAGTTTTGCGTCAAATCAAATGGTGACTGAGAGTCACCTCTCGAGTGCAAAGGGTTAAACAAATTGTTTTTCGATCAACTTCCGCCCTTTATATAATTTAACTTCAACTGCTAAAGGTTTCGTACATTTCGAGGAATCTTCGTCTGCAAAGGGTTAAAGAATCTTCGTCCGCAAAGGGTTAACCCTTTGCACTCGGAAGTATTTCGTTAGATATACTTAACATTTTCTAACTAGACGAAGATGATATTTTTTGAAATTAACTCAAAGAGAAATCACAAGTAAATTATGCACGGTTCAGTAGTAAATATCAAATTTTATAATTTTACTTCATCAAATCAGGTGGTGACTGAGAGTCACCTCTCGAGTGCAACGGGTTAAAATCGTGCGCAAAGAATTAATTCGCTTTTCAGAGGAATATTCCGAACGAAAGCTGGCCTGCCAAAGCGTGGCCGGTCGCGCACGACATTCGCTGAGA